ACACACACACACACAGTCAAAACCTACATTGGATCATTGCTGTTTTTATCTGGAAAATTTACAATGTGCATATCCAGAAGCATTAAAATGTGATCCAGAATGGGCTAAAAAATTGGCAAAAACTGATTATACAAGAAGTTTATGTGCCACTTATTCTAATAAAGAAATTAGAACTAGATGTCCAGTTGATCAAGAAATTATGTCATTAATTGGTAGAACTACTTGGAATAATCGTANAAAAAAACTATGAAAATTAAAAACTGTTAAAAAATTATTATCAAAGTCAATTCTTTTTATTCTTTTTTTTTTCTTTTCAATTTTTCTAAGTCAGAATTTAACTTGTAAAAATTTTCAAAATCAGAATTGAAATTGAAAAATTCTTTAAATCGGAATTCAAATTTCGACATAGAAAATTTTTCCAAGTTCGACTTCAACTCTGAAAAATTTTTCTAAGCCAAAGTCGGACTTGAATAATTATCATAATTTATTTGATGTCCGAGAAATACATAACAATTGGCTGTTCTGTTATAAGTTCCTTTTCCGCTTCTGTTCTTATGTTCTTTATATGTGGCCATTAATCAATCTTTTTTGAATGGGGGTGATATCTTTAATTTTTAAATGGGGTAGAAATAGAAAAACTAATCGAAAACAAAAGTTTACTTAAGTTTTTAAGTTTTACGTTAAAAAAAACCCTTTGGTGTCTTTGAATTTCTCTCAAAAACAAACAAACAAATCAATCAATCAAAATAATAATAATTCTAATCAAATAAAAAAAAAAGAAAAAAGAATTTGTTTTATTTGCTTTTGTTGCAAAAACATTTTTTTTTCAATTCAAAATTGACCACTATTTAAACACACATCGTATAATTGGTCTGATGATTTATGTGAGAGAAAATTTTGAAACGATTTTTGTTGTTGTTGTTTGTTGATTTGTCCAATTTGCAAAAAAAACAAGTAATTTTTTTTTGTCCCAAAATCAAAAAATGATTCAGCCATTGATTATTTGTATGATGATGTTTGCTTATTCGATCAACATCGACAATATTGAATGTTTACAATTCGAACAGGTTCCAAAAAAATGTGATAAAAAAGCTTTAAATAATTGTTTGGAAATAATGTTGAAAAAATATCCAAGTCTACCATCCAGACAATCGGTAAGTAAATCTATTTTAGTAAGCAATGAAACACTGAATTACTTGATTTATTTCATCCATCCATCCATTTATTCATCAGTCAAAACCATCAATAGAATTTTGTTGTTTTTATTTAGGAAATTTCTATTGTAGACTTGAAATAGCAAAAAAATGTAATCGAAAATGGGCTAAAGAATTGGAACAAAATAATTATATAAAACATATGTGTAAAGTTTATTCACAAAAAGAACTGAATGAAAAATGTTTATTTGGTCGTCAAGAAAATCATAAACTTCGTGATAGATCGTTTGAATTAATACGTCCGGGTTTAAGTAAAAAAATAAACAATACAGAAAATATGGAAGAATATGTTGATGTTGATATTCCAAACTTAGAAATAGAAGGTTTTTCCAAAACAACACTAATAGCAATGTCAAGTGCATTAACATTTACATCGGCTATTACGGCAATAATGTCAGCTATATTTTTAGAAACAGGACCAACAAAAACATATCTTTTAGTTGGTAGTACAATGAGTACGGCTATTGGTGGTACATGGTTGACTAAAGAAGTTTTACGTTTAGAAAATTAATTTTTTTAAAAAAACAAACGGATATTACTCAAACAAACAAACATAACCCCCTCAACCAACCCTTTCTTTTTTTCTTTCTGTGAATGAATCGATTAAAAAACAACAACAACAACAACAATGAAAAAAATATCTTCAATTTCAAATTTATTCAATATTTTAATGATAGAAAAAAATGATGATAATGACGATGATGATGATGAGATAATGAGAGTGGGAAAAAAAATTAACAAGGAAGAAGATCAAAAAAGGAGGAAAAAGAATTTTCGTTTGTTGTGTGTGAGTGGTAAATGGTAATTTTGACTATAATATGAATAGAAATACTACAATAACAAATGGTATGAATTGAATTGAATATTTTGAATATTTTGAGGATCTATATTGTTTGGAAATGACGATGAAAAAAAACTACAAAAAAAAGAGAATCTTATAATTGAACGAACACATAACCAACGATAAAAATGAAAAATCGGAACAAGAAATCGAATGTTTTGTTTTGTGCGTTCGAAAATATCGGATGATGTGATTGTTGTTTGTTTTGATTGATTGATTGATTTTGGGGAGCAAAATGAAAAAAATTTGAGATAACAAGATTGATGAGAGCAGTTTTGATTTGATGAATTGATTAAAAAAAACGACTAAGTAGATGAAAAAATATAATTTTTTTGATGATAAAAAAGTTTCGAAATGAAAATCTTTTTCTTCTTCTTCATTATTGTTAATATCCACCTCCGCCGCCGCCACCTCCACCACCACTATAACTGCCACCATTATCGCCACCTCCATAAGAATCACCGCCGCCGCCACCACCCCCACCATAACTACCCATATCATATCCACCACCACCACCATAAGAATCTTGATATGGTTGCATTGTATAAACTTTTTGTTTCTTATGAACAACACTATTTACGATGAAATGAAAATTTTGGTTAATTTGGAAAAAAAAGGAAAAAGAAACGAAAAAAAAATCACTTACGGAACCGGTACTGGAAGGGGCAATGGCAATGGTATTAGAATTTTTTTCTGTGCTTTAGCCATCAATGCCATCATTGCTAATTTTTTCAATTTTTTCATCATTTTTTTCTTTTTACCTGCTTCAACATTATCTGGTGTTAAAATTGTTGCAACAATAATGATTAAAACAATGGCCAAAATGGCCATATGACGATTTTTTGGATTCAACATAATTTTGTTGTTGTTGTTGTTGTTGTTTTGTTTAAATTCGTTGTTATTATTAGGACATTAACGAAAAGATCACTATGATGATGATGATGATAAACACTGATTACACACGGGAAAAAATGGATGAATGAATGAAAAAAAAATCCAGACAAAAATCCAACAATGCTGGTATTTATATTGATGATGTAAAATGACCTGTGATGGTTGTTATGTTTTCAAATCTGGACAAACCATATTTAACCAAACACCATCCTTGTTTTTCTCAATTTGTTTGTACAAATTTCTCTTCTTTATTTTCATCGCCATCCAAATCATCATCAACATCATTTCGGTCATCATCATCATCATCGTTTCGGTGTGTAGACAACAACTGTCGATCAAAAAAACAAGACAAGAGAAAAGAGTTAGTGAGAGAAAACGAAAAAGAATTAAATGAAAATGAAAAATAGAAATGGAAAGTAAAATGCACACTTAAAAAAGGGGAAAAAATACACGGTTATTATTAAAATAATAACCGAAAATCGGGAAACATATTTTTCAAATGTAAGAAAAAGAGGTTGATGTTGATAACAAACAAACAAACGAAAAAAAAAAACAAACATTTCATAAATAATCACCGATGACCATCACCACCACCACCACCACCACCACCATCTTCCTTATTATCATCCTTATTACGTACTTTACATAAACGTCCGCTTCCTTTTTCCAATTAAACCAGATTTTTTAATGGCAAATAACCACATGCCAAACCAACCACCCACACACACAACAACAACGCACGTGTTTGATTTGTCCGAAAAAAACTAGAAAACAAACAACGGATAATTATTCCGTTTACAAATGATAAACATTTTTTTTTCTTCTTCTTTTCGGGCAAACAATGAATAAAATCGGAAATCAAAAAAAAAAAAACATACCCGATCCAGGTGGGATAATAATAATAAAAAAAATTTACATGTCCGTGTTTGACTGTGTGTGTGTTTGTGTGTGAAAAATCAATTTTAGCATCATCATTATTCACTATGTTGATGAGACTAACAATAAGAAGAAAATAATAATCATCATCATTTTTTTTGACGAATATAACCTGGATGATGATGATGATGATGATGATTATGGTGATGAACATAACAAAAACACGGAAGAAATGGACATCCTCAAGCAAGCAAGCAAACGAAAAAATAAGTGAAACAAAACAATAATAAGCAAAAAAAGAAGAAAATAATCCTTTCTCTCATGTTCACTGACGATGATGATTGCGATGGTGATGGTGATGGTGATTGGTAATGGTGATTCAAAAACATGTTCCAAACATACAAAAAAAAGCCAAATTGGTCAGTGAAGAAAGGTGTTCCAAAGAAAGAAAATGCTGTTCGGATTTGGTTTTTGGTTTGTTTCATTTTCATTTTCATTTTATGCAAATTATATCTCTCAAATCATAATGGGTCAACTTTTTTTTTTATTTTGAATTTCGTTTTTTTTTCTTACTTAAATACTTGTTTGATGACTTGGTTGGTTGTTAAATTGCATAATTTTTGTTGTTGTTATTTTCATCCACTTTCTTTTCTTTTTTTTTTGTTTTTGTTGGTTGATTATTTGATTTGCACACAGATTTCATTTGAATAGACAATTAGCCTTTTTTTCTTTTCGGATGATGATGATGATGTTTTATTTCACTGTGAATTCATATATCCTGAAGGCGGATTTTTCTAAAAAAAATGAATGTTTAATAATTTGTTCAATTCAAAACATGGAAATATATTTAGGATCATTATCGTTTACGAATGCAAAGATAGTAATGAAATGAAAATCAATAGGATTATCTGATTAAACATACACACACAGATAATGATAAATGATCATTTCGAATGTCTAAATTTAGATATACATACAAACATTATAATCGATACAATAATTGGTGAAACTAAAATGATAGACATTTTAAACATCATTATTATACGAGGACAACAATTAAATCATCATCATAATTTTTGCTTCAAAACATCCACAAACACACCCCTTACCTTTATATATTCATCATTTGTTGAGTTCGATGTCCGTTGCCAATACTCATTCATTCAATGATGATCATTATTTTCATTCATTTTTTCTTCTTTTTCAAAGAAAATCCTGACCAAAACTGACCAATTATCAATGGACTCACACACACCCGGGGAAAAACCACCATTCATCCCACACACACAATCCAAATCGAATGTTTTTTTTTTGTTTTGTTTTCTATTTTCACACAAATGGATTCAAAATCCAAAGCAACAAACGCGCGTTTATTCGAGTGTTTTTGGAATCTTTTCGATGCTTGCTTGCCTGGTTATAATTGAAAAAAACCATCTCCAAAAACAACAAACGATAAACGATAATAAACCACTCTCAAATGATAATAGCCCTTTTAGGTTTGGCATTTCACAACATCCCAAAGAAAATCATCATCATCATTCATATATGATAATAAGTATGTGATATGTTATTATTATTATCATCATTACTAATGCATCACTATTCTTTTCATTTCATTTCGATAGATTCATTCTGACTTATAAGAAAAATGAAGAAAAGAAAAACAAAGTTAAAGAAAGAGAAATGGATGTATAATTTGTTCAACAATAACAATAGCCGGTCGGTCTGTCTATCTGAAATAATGGCTAAAAATAATTGGAAACTTCCGTGATTGTTTTCTGTCTGGCAATTTTTTTATGATGATGATGATGGTGAAAAGACCAAATCTATTTGAAAGAAAAATGAAATGACTGACCAATATTGTTTCGAGCGAAAAAAAAAATATAAACTATGTATGACCATTGTTGCATCATGTTGAAGAAGAATGAAGAAGAAAATTTAACCCCAAAAAAACCACAGCAACTATTTCGAAAACAAAATTGGCAATAATCACTTCTATTTTTTGATCAATAATTCACTGAACTGGATTTGTATTGGTAATCCTAATTGATTGATCCTAATCGAATGTTTTCGATTCGACCATAACTATCACTTCCTGATGAGAAAAAAAAGAATGTCTACCTTTCGATTAATGAATAATCGATGTTCGATTGTGATCGATTCAATCATCTATTCATTCATCATGATCATCAAACAAAACAAAAGATTTTGATGATCAATACTTGACTGGTTCTTCTCACAAAAACATCAACAACAAATATTGCTAAATAAAAATAGCCACAGACAAAACAAAAAATAGAGCAAATTTTAATATTATCAACAATATTTCAATCTATGAAGTGTTTTAGTTTTTTTTCAAATTTAATCTTTTAATCTTTTACAGAATTATTATTATCAAATTTGGCCAAAATTTTTTCGATTTTTTCGCACATTTGTTCATGTTTATCAGTTTGTAGTATTCGTTGTGATGCTTGTTTTAAACGTTGATTCAGTTCTTCATCATAAAGAAGATGATCAATCGATTTGATCATTTGTTCATCAGTAAAATCATATGGTGGTATTTTGATTGCCCAATTTGTTTCCGATAAACGTAGTGCATTATCATGTTGATCACAGAATAATGACATTATAATCATTGGTTTACCTTGAGCAAATGTTTCGGTTACACTATTATTGCCACCATGTGTAATAACTAAATCAACAACGGGTAGAATTTTTACCTGCGGTAAATAACGATCACCCCATAGATTACCAGTNGATCATTTGTTCATCAGTAAAATCATATGGCGGTATTTTGATTGCCCAATTTGTTTCCGATAAACGTAGTGCATTATCATGTTGATCACAGAATAATGACATTATAATCATTGGTTTACCTTGAGCAAATGTTTCGGTTACACTATTATTACCACCATGTGTAATGACTAAATCAACAACGGGTAGAATTTTTACCTGCGGTAAATAACGATCACCCCATAGATTGCCAGTTAATTCATATTCTTCATGACGTGGTCCTTTCGATACAATGTATTTATGATTAGTTTTGGATAAAACTTCAATCAAACGATGCATTAGATTCAGATCGACTGATCCCATTGAACCCATCGAAACATAAATCCATTTACCCGACCAATTACCATTCAAATCATTTTCATAAAAATCTTTTGGTAAAAATTCTTTCAAATCAATTTTTTCACCTGATTCATTTTTATTGAAAACTTCTAAATTAAACCAATCCGGATGATATTCTTTAATTTCTGGATAATCATATTCTTCTGGATAGGCATAAATTGTCAACACTTGAGTAAGTGGCATTAGTAAATCATTTTCATATCGTCGAAAACCATGTTTTTCATTAAAATCATTATTATCTTTATTCACTATAAACTGGTTAATAATTTCACGATATTTTGGCCATTCTTTTCGATCTGAATCGGCTGCTAGTCCTGTACCCCCGAAAAAAAAATTTCAATTCAAAGCTTTGAATTTCTTCAAAACAAACAAACAAACAAACAAACCTGACCATGCCGGTGGTAGATGATCAATATCATATAAATATACCAATGGTGCTACACTCATAATCTTGATCCATGGTTTTTTCGAACAATCAATAATCGGTTCAAGAACAATATTATCAACAATAAAAAGATCTGGTTGAAATGATTCGATTACTTGTTTAAGTTTTTCATTATCTTCAAAACGTTTAATATTCATTGATTCATCTGGTTTTTCAGTTAATTTTTTCAATTGTTCCAATGTATTTTGTTTACCGATAATTTTTTTATCAACTAAATATTGTGCAGCTGATTCACCGGGATTTTTTAAATTCGCTGTATCTTTTTTCACACCAAAAAATGATGGTTCATAACAAAATTCTTCAAAACCAAGTTTTTGAATTTTTCCATTATAAGTACGTTCGACAAAAAATCCAATACGATGACCACGTTTTAATAATGATTTTGCAATACCAATACAAGCATTAACATGACCAACACCATTGACCGGTGTAAATAGGATACGTTTCTGGGTTATTTTCATGTTGTTGTTGTTGTTTCTGTCGAATGTTGGCAATCAGGCAAAACTTTCAGTTGAAATTTTCGTTTAATCTGTTCTGGGTTTATTTGGATGAATTTCTTCGTATTTAAATACAAGTTTAATATATAAAAAACAAAATTTCAACCGAGTTTGATAAGATTGATGATTAGATTAATTTGTTTGAAACACTGTAAAGTTACTTTGTTTCAAGATTATAAAAAGGCGGTAATAACAAAACATTAATAAACTATTTATTTGATAATAAAAATAATGATTACTTCGAATAATAATAATAAAACAAAATTGTCATTTTTCTAAAATTTTATCAATCATATCGCAAACTATTTCATGTTTATCAGTTTGTAGTATTCGTTTTGATGCTTGTTTTAAACGTTGATTCAATTCTTTATCATAAAGTAGACGATCAATCGATTCGATTAGCTGTTTATCAGTAAAATCATATGGCGGTATTTTGATTGCCCAATTTGTTTCTGATAATCGTTGTGCATTATCATGTTGATCACAGAAAAGCGGCATAATAATCATTGGTTTACCTTGAGCAAATGTTTCAGTTACACTATTATTACCACCATGTGTAATAACTAAATCAACAACAGGTAGAATTTTTACCTGCGGTAAATAACGATCACCCCATAAATTACCGGTTAATTCATATTCATTATGTCGTGGTCCTTTTGATACAATGTATTTATGATTAGTTTTGGACAAAATTTCAATCAAACGATGCATTAGATTCAGATCGGCCGATCCCATTGAACCCATTGAAACATAAATCCATTTACCCGACCAATTTCCATTCAAATTATTTTCATAAAAATCTTTTGGTAAAAATTCTTTCAAATCAATTTTTTCACCCGATTCATTTTTATTGAAAACATCTAAATTAAACCAATTTTTACAATATTTTTTAATTTCAGGATAATCATATTCTTCCGGATAAGCATATATTGTTAATGATTGTGTATCAGGTATTAGCGCATCATTTGGATAACGTTGATAACCAAGTGATTCACTAATATCATTCCAATCTTTACTAAAACGAAAAACATCGGTAAATTTTCTTAAATCATTCCAATCTGAATGATGATCATTGATTGAAAAACCAGTCCATGCTGGTGGTAATTCATTGGAAATATCTTGTAAATATATTAATGGTACAACACTTATAATACGAATCCATGGTTTTTTCGTAACAAAAATTGCCGGTTCTAATTTCATATTATCCACTATAAATAAATCTGGTTGAAATGATTCAATAACCATTTGTAATTGTTGATTTTCATATGATCGTTGATCAAATTTATACATTGATTTTCCATCCATTTTAGCCAATTGTAATCGTACATCTTTTTGTCCTAAAATACCCATTTTTAATAATTTATTTGCCAAATAATCGCCTGGATTTTTAAATTTTTCGCCATCATCATCATCTTGTTCATCATCAATATCTTTGAATGGTTCATATAGAAATTCTTCAAAACCATAGGATTTTAATTTACCCGAATATGGTTTTTCAAGGAAAAAACAAATACGATAACCACGTTTTAACAATGGTAACGCAACACCAATACAAGCATTAACATGACCAACAGCATTGACCGGTGCAACCAATATTCGTTTGGATTTCATAATTTTGATTTCTGGTTTCTGGTCGTTGAATTCAAGACAAAAATGTACGGTTGATCGGTAAATTGGTAAAGTAAAAAATGAAATTCTTTTTTAAATGCATTTCATCAACCATTTTTTCTTTTATTATTATCATGCGATATTTAATGATGATGATGCTTATCAACCAGGATAATCATTTTTTAAGAAAAAAAAACCGGATTAACATTTTTGTTGCCTTATTTTTATTGTTGATGATAAAATTTGAACCACCAGAAATTGCCAGTTTCATCGGAAAGAAAGTGCAATTTTTTCATGTTTGTAACATTTGATAAATGCAATTTTTTGTACTTTTGAATTTGATTTCAATTGAATCAAATCAAATCGAAGCGAATTGAATGAATGAAAAAGTTTTGTTTCTCCTGATAAACTATTATCAAATTTGTATTTTGACAAGTACAATTTATCATACGTTTTATTACAACCGAAAATCAAAATCAAATCAAGTCTGATTCGCATTTTTTTTCTGTTGAAAAAATTCATACTTTAATCAGGACAAATTGATTACTTTTAATAAAAGTGCAAAAAATTTTGCACCGATTTTAATTTTTCATTAAAATTTCTTCAATTTTCGCACATAATTCCGAATGTTTATTTGAATTTCGTATACGATTTGATGCTTTCGAAAGACGTTGTCGTAATTGATCATCATTAAGTAATTGATCGATTGCATTGATAAGATCATTATCATCGAAATCATATGGATTAATTTGTTTGGCAAAATTTGTTTCCGATAAACGTTGTGCATTATCATGTTGATCAACAAATAATGACATTATAATCATTGGTTTACCTTGAGCAAATGTTTCGGTTACACTATTATTACCACCATGTGTAATGACTAAATCAACAACAGGTAGAATTTTTACCTGCGGTAAATAACGATCACCCCATAGATTACCAGTTAATTCATATTCTTCATGGCGTGGTCCTTTCGATACAATGTATTTATGATTAGTTTTAGATAAAACTTCAATCAAACGATGCATCAGATTCAAATCTACTGATCCCATTGAACCCATCGAAACATAAATCCATTTACCCGACCAATTTCCATTCAAATCATTTTCATAGAAATCTTTTGGTAAAAATTCTTTCAAATCAATTTTTTCATTCGATTCATTTTTATTGAAAACTTCAATGTTAAACCAATCAGGATGATATTCTTTAATTTCTGGATAATTATATTCTTCTGGATAGGCATAAATTGTCAACGCTTCAGTTGGTGGCATTAATAAATCATTGGGATAACGTTTATAACCCATTTTTTCGATAAAATCATTTTCATCTTTTCTATAGAAAATATTTTGCACAATTTTTTGATATTTTGGCCATTGTTTTCTATCCAAATCAGAATTAGATAATCCTAATAAAAATATTGAAAATTTTTAATTAGAAAATTCTGTAATCGAATCAAAAATATTACCTGACCATCCTGGTGGTAAACTTTCAATATTGTATAAATATAATAATGGAGCAATACTAATCACTTTGATCCATGGTTTATTTGAATAATAAATAGCTGGTTGAAGTTTTGGATCATCAACAATAAATAAATCTGGTTTGAACGTTTTGATTGTTTCACGAAGATGTTTATCTAATTGAATTTTTTTACTATCCGAATCCCATTTTGTATTGAGTACTCGTTCGATTTGTTCAAATCGATCATTATTACCAAGAATACCATTTTTCAATAAAAAATGTGCTGCTTGTTCACCCGGTGTACGATTATTTGTACCAGCTGTATCATCAGGTTCATAATCAATTTCATAGATAATTTCTTCAAAACCATGTTTAGAAAGTTGTCCGGCAAATTGTTTTTCAAGAAAAAATGCAACACGATGACCATTTTTTAATAATGGTTTGGCTATACCGGCACAAGCATTTACATGACCAACACCTAATACCGGTGTGACGAGGATTCGCTTCGAAATAGTCGACGACATTATTCTTTGTGTTTGGTTTGAAAAATTTCGAAATTTTTTTGGTAAAAAATCAGAGGAAAATTATCCCGTTTTTTTGCAATTCCTTTTTATTTATATATTCATATCTGACAAATATGTCAAATAATCGTTAATTGATAATTAACACAAAAAAATGGCTGATAACAAAAAAAAAATCATTCTTTCAAATCATACGATTTTTTAAGATAAACATTTATCAAAATCAATCATAGATTTTTGTACATTGAAATTATTATTATTTCATTGATTTGATTCAAAAAAAAATTGGATAACCAATAATATCGATGACTAGAGATCAATGATGACATTGAAAAGAACACGATTTTCTTTTTCACCAAATGAATAACAAAATTTTAAACAGATTCGATTTTTTCATTTTGTATTTGATTGAAAATTTTCATCATCTTCATCTTGATCATCATTTTCATTTTTCGTATCAATATCGATTGAAATATTATTATTATTTTCGGTTGAATATTTTGGTAATGGACAATCAAGTGCTTCCTGATATGATGGTGGAAAATCATTTAATTTAATTGTTGTTGTATGAAAATCTTTTTGATGATTTGCAATAGCTAATTGATGTAAACGACGTTCTTGATCCGAATAAATTGATTCAGTTGTTGAAAATTGTTGTGTTGGTGTTGGAAANAAAAATGCAACACGATGACCATTTTTTAATAATGGTTTGGCTATACCGGCACAAGCATTTACATGACCAACACCTAATACCGGTGTGACGAGGATTCGCTTCGAAATAGTCGACATAGTTTTTTGTTGGCTGAAAAATTTCGAAAATTTTTTTTTTGGTAAAAAATCAAAGGAAAATTATCCCGTTTTTTCAATTCATTTTTATTTTTATATTCATATCCGAGAAATATGTCAAATAATCGATAATTGATAATCAATAATTACAAAAAAGTTGCTGATAATAAAAAAATCATACTTTCAAATCATCCGATTTTCAAGATAGATAAACATTTAGTAAAAGCAATAGAGAAAAAAAACACACACTAAAATCTATCATAGATTTTTTTACATTGAAATTAATATTATTTCATTGATTTGATTTGATTCCAAAAATTGGATAACCAATAATCGATGACTAGAGATCAATGATGACATTGAAAAGAACACGATTTTTTTTGCCCAAATGGATAATCAATGAATGAATAACAAAATTTTAAACAGATTCGATTTTTTCATTTGTATTTGATTGAGAATTTTCATCATCTTCATCTTGATCATCATTTTCATTTTTCGAATCAATATCAATTGAAATATTATTATTTTCTGTTGAATATTTTGGTAATGGACAATCAAGTGCTTCCTGATATGATGGTGGAAAATCATTTAATTTAATTGTTGTTGTATGAAAATCTTTTTGATGATTTGCAATAGCTAATTGATGTAAACGACGTTCTTGATCCGAATAAATTGATTCAGTTGTTGAAAATTGTTGTGTCGGTGTTGGAAATAATGTATCATAAAATTTAAGTAAATAATCCAATTGTATTAGATAAATTAATGATACAATTATTATGATAATCGGTATGATTAGATGAAAAATTTTCCACCAAATTAAAATCGGATCAAATAATATTAGATATAATTTTATAACTGCCAAACAAAAAAACAAGGAAAATTTTAATTAATTAATCATAATTAAAATGATCATTTAAACAACAAAATTTTTGAAAAAAACCTAAACATACCCAACATAAAAATCATCGATATTGTTGTTGTTGATGATAATGTATAATTTTCATTATAAACACCATATAATGACATTAAATATAGGAAAAATGTTGCACAATCAATTATTTTTGTTTGCTGTATAATTTGTCGTTGTAAAACAATTTCCAATTTATCATTTTCCTGTTGTTGTTGTTGTTGTTGTTCAGTTTTATTTCTATCATCATCATTATTTCGTTGTTGATATTGTTGATGATGTTTAATTGTTGACAATTCCAATTGATTTTTTGTTGTTGTTGTTGCTGTGAAATTTTTATTAAATTTTATTGAATTTAAATATTGTTGATAATAATTATGACGATGATCTGTTGATGTTGTTGTACCAATCCATGTTGTTAAACGTATCAATGTTAAAAGTATAGCCATCATTAATAATATTGAATAAAATTGTTTAATACGATCAAATAATTCGAATCTTTTTTGTGATGTTGCCGATATGATTGGTGTTGTTGATTGTAGATTATTATTGATTGTTGTTGATAAATTTGTTCGTGATTGTCTTCGTGATTCGATTGTTCTTGAACAAGATGGTGTGCATGATGATGATGTACCGGGTAAACAATGTAATTGTTCATCATTCGATTGTTCGGGTTGTTGTTGTTGTTCCGGTTGTAGACAATTTTCACTGGAATCGTTACAATTTTCAAGATCAAAAATCATTTTTTCTTCTTCTTTTTTTGTTGTTGTTGTTGTTGTTGTTGTTAATTCTTTCGAATTATAAAAATTTCAATTCATAAAACATCTATGTTTCATAATAACAACGATGATTCGAATGAAATAGGAAAAGATTTTTTTACAAAACTAAATAAACAATTTTTTTCAAATATATAATGTACTCGGTTGTTGTTGTTGTTGATGATGATGTTTACGTATTTACTATTTCGTAAACATTATATATGTGTGTTATCAATTGATCAACCAGAAAAAAGAAAAACATTACCCAAAAAGATATCAAATTTTTTTTTCAAAACAAAAACAAAAATTATTTTCATTCGAATTCATGTTTTTTATGTAAACCAGCAACAAAATTCATCAAAAATTTCGTCATTTTTTTTTCTTTCAAAAAAAAAAACATTCGAAATATGAATGAAGAGGGGGTGTGAGAAAATCAAGAGGGGGTGTGCTTCCAATTTTGTTGTTGTTGTCTGTTTTAATTGATTCCCCTCCCACATTCGATTAAAAAAATACCCACCAATCAAAACAAACGACACTCCTTTTTGTAAATATTTTTTTTTGTTTTTGTTGTTGTAAAGCTGATTTACATTTGTAACTTGTTTTGTAATGGGAAATTTATTTTGCATTTTTTAATTTGTAAATTAATTTATGTAGATGAATTAAATTGAATTGAATTGAATGAATGAAGGTCATCGTGGATTCAGACAACAACAAATGGAATGAACGTTTTTGTGTTTGGAAAAAAATTGCTCGAAGCAATTTTTTTTTCTTTCGAATCGATATCGATATTTTATTTTATCGTCATCATTATCATCATTTTTTCTCCTGAATTTCATTCAGTTTTTTTTTCTCTTGATTGAAAATCTGTAATAATTTTTATCCTTTTTTCTTCAGCCCAAAAAATGATTATTCAAGTTTGATGATCGTATTGATGATGCGAATGTGTGTGTGATGAAAATCACGTAAATATCATCATTATCGAACAACATTTAAATTCGAACGGTTGCCTGGTTGATGTGTGCGTCTGTCTGTTTTTGATTACGAAAAAAAAAAATTGGATGACGTTATCAGAATTTCGATCATAATCATATCGAACATCGTAAAGATCACCTTAAGGGTTAAAATCATATTTGATGTAAACATGTGTGCGTAAAGATTGTTGTTCCATCCAAAAATCGAGCTAATTGCGAATGATTTTTTAAAAATGTATTTTTTTGTCGTTGTTTTTGTTGATTATCGTCATTGTTTTCCTTGAAGGACGATCGATTTGTCTTATTTTTTCTCTGCACTTTTAGCTATTTGCGTACTTGAATTGGATAAAATTAGATTATCATTTCGAAAAAAATTTTTTTTAAAAACAAAATTATTTAAATTGAAACAAAGAAAAAATGAGGGAGAAAGACGCAATCCATAACGCTAATTTTGCCATTGAAAATTGATTGATTGATTGATTAATTGATTCTGATTGATTTTTTTGGACATAATTCAATTAAGATTAGATTAGATCCTGGGTTCTTTCGTTTTTCTAATTAAACAAATTGATTTTTTGTGGGATAAGATTTTTTTTCACTTTGTTTCAATTGTTTTTTCTTTCGAAATCTTAAAAAAAAATTGATTAATTAATTAATTAATTAAGATAACGATTATGGAATGTAGTTTTCTTTTTGGGTTTTTGGGTTGTTTTTGGCAATATAAGCCATTGATCATCATCAAATTGGAAAATCCATTTTTGTGTGGTAAATTTTTGTTTTAGATTTTTAGAAAATTTTTTTGATTAAAAAATGAATTCAATGAAAATTATTACCGTTTTTGGTTTGTTGGCATTATTGGCCAGTATGGGTATGTTTGAATTTTGAAATAACCCTTTGTTTCCTTGACTTTAATTTTTTTTTCTCTCTCTCTCTGCTGTAGGCCAGGCCAGAAATTTGGATCTTTGTATGAATGAAATGTCAGAATCATTGCCATCATCAACAACAAAACGACCACCAACACCAACAAAAGCATCATCTCCAACAACATTAATGGATCCAACAAAATTATTACAACGAATAATAACACAATCTGATCAATTAATATTGGAAACTAAAACAGCATTAGAACAATATCGTATTGAAAAAAATTATTTTACAACCGCATTGGAAAAAGAATTAGTATTATTAATGAAATATACTGAACATTTGAAAAAAGAATCCAGTGATATTGATAGTCAGAATCCATTTTTTCGTGAATTTGTTTATAATGCTGAAATCCAGGTTGGTAAAACAATGGGACGTATACATGAAATAATGTATTTGGGACAAAAAGGAACCGATCCCGGTTATGTACAAATCTTACATCTTATGGATGCATTAAAAACACGTGCTTATGCTGATATTGGTTATCTGTTTATGCATGGTAAAGCTGAACAAGCACAAAGTATCAAAGATGAAATATTACAAATTGAAGAACTAGAACGACAATTAAAATCAACTGATTTTAAATTAACACCACAAACATCTGAACAATTGATTGAAAAAATGTTAGAACATGAACGTCATCTTGAAGAAGAATTATATAAAATTGAAGAAGATAATCTTTGAACAAACATCAAAATCAAAAAATCAAAAATCAAAAATCAAAAATCAAAAATCAAAATGTTTATTGCAGCCAAAATTAATCAAATTTTACAAAAAACAAAAAAAAAATCTTTTATATTAATGTTGATTAAAAAATAATAAAGGTATTTAAAGGTAAAAAATGTTGTCAATGAGAGAAAGTGAAAATCAAATGAAATGTTTCATATAATTATGATCATTATAAAGTTCCAAAAGCCAACGTTGTATTAAATGAAAACGTTGTTGTTGATGTTGTGATAAACGTATATAATAACGAATCCATTGTTTTGTTAATAATTCCATTTGATGATTAATATTCAATTGTCCACCACCGCCACTTGGACCACCACCATCATTACCATCATTATCACCAATTGGATTAATTATTTTATCAATTAATGGTGATGTTGGTTCACTACTACCACCACCACCACCAATCACCATATCATCAATATCATCATCACCAATTATAAATATTGGTAAATCTAGATTCGGATGATGTTGATAATTTAGATTATCATTTGGATGATTATTCAATTCGTTAATGTTTTGCTTTTGTTGTTGATATTCAATACTATATTTTACCGAAACAATCATTGGCCATTTTGTATAATCAATTAATTTATCAATCAATAACCATAAATCTTGATAGGATTTATTTTTACGCCAATTACGTAATCGTTGATGTGATTGTCGTATTAATTCCGTTAATTCTGATTGTAAACGTTGTCGAATTTGATCAACATTCAGCATTTTTGTTGGTGATGATTGATGATCATCCTGATCAATCACAGATGTCGTCGTTGCTGTTGATGATGATGATTGTGGATGATAATCAAATTCAGGAAAAAATGTTTCCATCATTGTACATAAACCATGTAATATTAATGATTGTAATATAAATAAACATTGATTTGATGGTGGTTTTTGTGAACGAAATATACCGAAAAAACCACGATTCAATGAATCTTGTATGGATTGATTTAATTGACGACATAATAATAATAATGTTTGTATTGATTGTGATACTTCTTCTTGATGTATATCCAATGAAAGTTGATTTGGATCTAAAAATTGTTGCTGCTGTTGTGATGATAATAATGATGGCGATGATGTTGATGGTGTTATCGGTGATGATTTTGTCAATGATAATAATGATGCTGTTGATGATGAATTATTCTTGGTCGAATAAACGATAGGTATATCCAATAATGATCGACTATTCGAATTGGCATTATTCATTGTTGTTGATAAATGATTATTATTTGTTTTTAATGATGATAAATGATGTATAGAAATATTTAAACCATTACTAATTGAACTATGATCAAATGTAAGCAAATCGAATATTCTGGTCCAGAAAAAACATTGTTTTGATTCATCCATAAATTGTTGTTGGTGTTGTTGTTGACCAAATTTACCAAAATATTGTACACATTGTATCATTATACTATAAACATAACGCCTGGTACATATATCCGGTACTGTACGATGTTGTAATTGACGATGTATATATATTAATAATAATAAACAGCTACGTGTTCGTATTGATTCGAGCATAAAATCTTCAATATGATAATTTGTTGTATCATTTTCATTATTTGTTGATTGTAAATTTGCTTGTGAATTATTATTCATTGTTGTTGTTACATTGAGATGTTGTTTATTCATATGAACAATTTCTAAATTATCAATCAAATATTGTAAATCACCAGCTAAATCAAAATAATTTTCCAATAAACATTCCAATAAATAGATTGCCGTTTTAATTGAATAGATAATTTTTCCAACAGCAAATATTATTTCAGTAAATAATTGACTTGATGTCATATAGGAAAATATTGTTACAAAATGTCGGGCAATTTGATCACGAATTGGTTGATCATGAATTTCATTTAATGATTGTAATAATTCACAAAATATTGATACACGATCATTCGTATCGAATGTATCGATTGTTGGTCGTAATGATTCAATTGAATCTTTTAAAAATAACAATAATGTTTGAGGATTTTTAGCTAAATAATCTGAATTTTGATTTGCATGATATGATACGAATGATCCAATACAATGACCATAATAAATAACTTTTGATGCATTTTGTTGTTGTTTGATTGGATCATCATCATCATTATTATTATCATTGTGGACATTATTAGTTTGTAATTGTACCAATGATTTTAATAATCTCATTATAATTATTAATTGATTATCGATGATTGAATCGGTTGATTTTTGTTTATTCAAATTTTTATCAACCATATCGATTGGTATACGTTTTTTCATCACTTCCAACAATGTAACAATAATTTTTTGAATTTTTTCACTTGGTAATATCCAAAATGGAATGTTGAAAAAATCAACCTGTCCAATATATGGTTGATCAACCAACGATATAATTGTATAGGTAAGATTTTCCAATATTTCAACAACATTATTGAATGATATTTGTTGTGGTGTATTCAATAATGCTTGATTCCATTGAATTTTTGATATAACAAATGAATTTAAACGTTCAATTGAATAACGTTCCATCACCACTGATTCATACATAAGTTTCATATCGATAATTGATGGATAAAATTGTGACCAATTTTTCAATTGTAATAATTTTGATTCAAACATTTCAACATCGGTACGTTCAACCGAACGAGTTTCCAATATAAATGTCATAAATGGTTGCCATAAACAGGATAAAATCTGTGGTTGGTCATCTTTTTTGTTTTTCAAATGACCAAAATGATAAAATTAGAATCAAGTTTTCAAAAAAAACAAAAAAAAACAACTAACCATAAAATGAATCCAACATATATTGAACTGAATTGATAAACAGTTGCCAAGCAAAACAAAAATGTTCCCATTGTATAAATTTGGTATTATGTCGTGGAAATAGCCAAAATCGCCAATTTTCAAAAAATGGTAGCCATATTATCGAAAGATCATCTAGTAAAAAGTAATTCAAAGCAAACACAAAAAAAATATTAGAGTCCTTTATCTTTCAAAATGGAAAAAATCTAGTTTGGTTTTGGTTTTGTTACCTGGTAATGTTGTTGCATTCGAATTAATCCAACAATACGATATAAATGTTAAAAATTGTAAAAATTTTACATTATAAATTTTAAAATGATCTAAAAATTCTGATTGTTGTTGTTGATTTGAATTTTGTTGTTGTTGTTGTTGTTGTTGAAGATTATGTTTAAATTCCAACATTAATTGTAAAAGATTATATAATTCATGTGATGTAAATAATTTTTGTCGTAAAACATATATACGTAAATCATCATCAAATGTTTGATAATCAAAATCAATTATTGATAATTCACAATGGTTGTTGTTGTTGTTGTTGGTCACACCATGATTATTTTCATCAAATTTTGGCCGAACAAATTTTCCCGCTGCTGCTGTTGTTATTGTTGATGATGAAAATGATGATAAACTTTTTGTATAAAAACCAAACGTATGTAATATACTATTCCATAATATTGGTGCTAATTTTTGTTCATTCATTCCTGTTAACATATTTGCCAGAATATTAGCCATAAATATTGGAAAACGATACAGAATCATATCTTGTAAATGTTTACGATAAAGATCATAAATAACTAAATGATCATCACTTGGATATGGTCCGAAAAATTGAAAACATTGAAATAAACATTGTAAAAGATCTAGACGTTGTTCATCCGACAGATTCGTTAATTGTAACCATGTGGAAACATCAAATTTACTTAATAATACAAATATTGTTTGTGCTGGTGATGATAATTGATATTGTTGCGATTGCGGTTGTTGCGATTGTGATTGTGATTGTTGATTCAAACGTGATCCAATCAATTTATACATTTCAATAAACATTTTTGTAGATGTTTTTGATGGTTGTAAACAAGGTGCTAATTGTTGTGTTAATGACATTGAAACACTACGTTGTAATACAGTATTTAAATAAAAATAATTAATTTCATCAACATAATTAACGGATAATTTTTGTAATAAATCTAAAAATATATCCAATAATTGACCAGTTAGATGATATTTAATACCGATTAAATTGATTGAATTAATCCAACCGGACATTGTTTCGAATAAACGTTGTATTCGTTGCTGTTGTTGTTGATTATTGTTATTATCTGATGATTGTTGATATGGACCATCCAAATAATACCGTAACAAATAATGAACAATTTTTTGCATAAAATATATTGATGCAACTTGTTTTTGACCAGGTATATCATCGATTAATGTTTTGATTATTTGATCAAATTCAGCACGATTACGATCCAATTTTTGTTTAATATAATTATTCAATAATGATTCAGTGAATTCAAATTTAAATATAGCCGGTTTTGAACAACCATTAGCATCGAATTCCGAACGATCACAGCTAATTTTTTGTATTAAATCACGACTAACATCATGATATAATTTTGGTAGAATATCTTTACAAAATTCTGTATTTAATTGATTAAATTTTTCCAATTGTTGTTCAACAAAACGTGCTTCTTCAATAATATTATCAACAATTTGATGTATGATAACAAACACAATGGATATATCTTGTTCAGATTTTTTACCATCAAAATCCACGATTGTTGTATGATCATCGAAAACATATGATAAATTATAACCAATATCATTATCAATAAATAGTATGTTACAATTTAATGATGATGTTAGTTTACTAAAATAATCAATAATTTGTCCAAAACGTTCACTTTGGCTATATTCAACAGGTTGTTGTTGCTTTTGTTGTTTTGATTGATTAGATTTGCCTAGATTAGCATCGATAAATTGAATTTCATTCGATGATGATTCGGAATGTTTTGGTAATTTTCGTTGAACATTATCATTATCATCATCATTGTCACCATTATCATCAAAATATTTTATCGGTTCTTGAAGAATTGGTTTCATCAATCTTATCCATGATTGTTCATGTTGAAATATATATGATTGTAATGGTGTTTTATGAACATAATTCAACATAAAAAATGAATTTAAATGATCAAATTCTGGCCAAAAATTTTCTTGAATAAAATGAAATTGTTGTTGATTACTATTACCACCGATTGAAAATTGTTTACCGCTTGAAACCGATACCACAGAATTTAATAATTTTATTTGAATTTCTGGTTTAGTAAATTGTTCATCATCAAGATCGGCATATTGTAAAAAACGATTATCTTTCAGCCAAATCCTATATGCACGATATAATTTAACTAAACGATCTTCAAATAATAATGTTGAAATTGAATCACTTTTTTGCTGCTGCTCATGTTGAAATAGTTCCGAATCAATGGAAATAGTATCATTATTCAATGATCTTTCATTATTCAAATAAATCCATCTTTGATTATGATAATCAAATAATGAATTTAAACGATCATTTAATTGTTTCAATCGGTTTTGATCAATAAATCGATTACCAATTGTTGATAATGAATCTGTATAAAGAAAATAATTGGAAAAAAATTGTCTCCATAATAATGGTATTATTGGATGTGGATGACGATCCGTTGTTGATGGTGATTTTGTTGATGATTGTGAATGATCAACTGTTTGAATCAATTTCAACAGATATACAGTGAGCAAATTCAATGGTAACAATTGATATGGTAATGGTGCTTTTTCATATTGTAAACATATTTTTGTTATCTCGGTTTCAATCATTATATAATCAATTTGTTGTGATGGTTCATTTGATGGATTCCATGGTTTTTTACGTAATTCTAAAACTAAATGATTCCATATTTGATATGTACGACGAATATCAATTTCGGTAAGTAAAAATATTAAATAAACTGGTTGTCTTGAACGAATTGATTGTCTTGAATTTAAACAATGTCTTAATAATAAATGAAATGGTGTCATCCATGGTGACCGTATTAATGTTTTATCCGTAAGATATCCAGGTATATTTGTTTCATTTGAATACCAATATGATGATAACCAAGATGATGAACTACTAGAATCATTATCAGATGATGATGAACCTGAATTAGCATAAATCAAATCTAATTGTGAAAATTTCCAATTCATCATACGACCATATAATTTACGAAATAAATATTGTTGATATAATTTTAATGAATCACCATTTTCCAATAATAATTCCATTGATAAACGATCAAAAATTGAAGTAATTTTTCCCAATATCATATCAATAATATTCATTTGATTTGTTGTTGATGATGATTGTAAAAATTGTGGTATAATCGTTGAAAACCATGTTGATATTTTCATATTTAAACAACGATTTATTGTTTCAAATAAACATTCAGTCCATGATTGTAATGTTCGTTGTGCAAATTCTGGACGTTGAAAATGTTTTCGTTGTAATAATATGATTGATGATAATTGTTCAGCAATCGAATCATTTTGTAATAATGTTAATATTGATAATATAAATGATTGATTTGAACGTAATTCACCATCATTTTGAAAACAAAATGGTAAAAAATGATATAATATTTGTAATGTTGGAATTAGATGACCACCGCTTATCAATTGATCATTCAATTCAGTCATACGTTTTAAATCAATGGAATTGTAACCAGAATTGAATAATAAATCACTTGATATAGCTGCAATATAAATTGCATATGGATTATTTGATTCAATACCTTTGGCAATCTGTATCATTTCTGAATCATAATTAAATTTCATCATATATTGCATTGTCCAATGTTTTCTTCGATTTGATGATGAATATTTATTTGTTGTTGTTGTTGTTGTTGTTAAATGTTCACCAATACCACCAACACTAATATTATTACCAAAAACAATATCATCCCAACTAGATTCATCCGGTATTAAATCTAATGGATGTAAACGTAATGATAATAACATTGACCAACACCAACAACCATAATCATTCGAATCGATTGATTGTGCTAAACGTAAACGTTGTTCTTCATTCATTAATTGTTCCGGTTTAATTCGTGGATAATCAATTATAATCTTTGTCTTTGAATCATTATTATTTGTAGTTGTAATTTTAAAATATTGTTCCATTGCTTGATATAATTTTAATGAAAATTGTTGTTGTTGTTGCACGGGTATCATTAAACATTGATCATTTTGAACAAGGATACGATTCCAACCAATTTTTGTTAATAAAATTCTTGCAAAACGATTATAAATATGATTATATGATCGTTCAGTAAGCCATTTATAAAGTAATGAAAATAATCGTTGTTCAGGTTTCCAATCATTTATAACCAATGATGTGAATAGATCTAAACATGGTTGTATAAGAAGATTATGATTTTCTTGTTGTTGTTGTTCATCCGAAATTTGTTGTTGTTGTAAAAATTGTAATAAAACAAATAACATTGATTTATAATTTGATAATAATTTTATCAAACAAGCAACACCTTTTGTACTGTAAAATTCTTGATTATTCAATACAAATGATTGATTTGAAGATTTATTATCCAAATCAGATGATGATGATGAATATAATTTACATAATAAACAAATTTCAGCAAAACGTTCAATAATTTCACGAAAAAAATCATCAATATGTTGTTGATCGAATGATACAAAGTCATTATTGTTACTGTTAGTCATCGATATAGATTCATTTGATTTTGATCTTGATATTGCCATATTGAAGAAAAAATCCAATAAACCACTTGCCTCTTCCAATGATAAAATTGATAATTTTTCAATAAAAATAAATTTCCACTGGGAATGGCTACGAAATTTATCTTTCCAATAATTCGAGCTCATATATGGACAAAGACCACTAACAATTTCATTCGATTCTTGATTACGACCATTCTGGTAAACAACCCATAATATATTCCATAACATTGGTTCGGATATACCTTCAAAATCAATTTTAGCTAATAATGGCCATACACCACGACGATTTGTTGATAATATTGCCATTATTGATCGTAACATAAAATGATCAAATTCAACTTGCAATCGTATCAATAATGCTTGATCTTTTGTTGTGAATTTTTCCTTACACCAACGCCAATTATCTGATATTGTTTTAATAATCTGTTTGATCATTGATGCTAAATATAATGTTAAACGTTTAAAACGTAAACAATTAAAATTCTGTAAACCATGACGAAATATTTGTATTAATCGGGTACTAAATGCAAACAAACGTATCATTGATGTTTCGGTTGATGAATCAATCATATCACCATCATTATCATCATTGGTAATCAAAGACATAAATTGAAGCATTTCACGAAATGGAACACGTGATAAATAACAGATTATATCGGATTCGGTTAATTCGGCCATAGGTGATGATGATTTATCCAAACAAACATCTTCATCATCTAAATCATTATCAACCATTAACCATAATGATTCTTGATTATTATCATTTGCGGTGGTTTTTGAATCATTTTGTTCACTTTTACTTGTAGAAGTTATTGGTGATAATATTGTTGCAATAACCGTAACACCATAATCAACATATTGTTTACCTAATTCAAATTGATTTGAATCATATTTTAATGGTAATGGATTTAATGGTTGTAAAAGTTGTTCGAATTCTTCCGAAGAACCTGATGGACATCTTAGGATTTGATTCAGTAGAAATAGTCGATCCGAATAATTTGCTAATTTTTCCGAAAATTTCCTACATAAATATATTATTGCTTGATAACATTGTAGTTTTAGTTTATTAGTCGTAGTTGTTGTTGTCGAATTTTGTCCATTATCATTGTTAATCGTATGATGATGACGATAATAAGCAAATAATGCAGCGAATAAATCTAATAATTGCTCATGTAACAAACGTGTTGATGGTTCCAATTGATAGATTTGTGTAATGATCATTGAATCAGCAGAATTATCCATCGTTTCATTTTGATCAAAAATACTTGAACTACAATTGGTTGTTTGATCATCAACATTACCGAGGTTGTTGTTGTTGTTGTTGGATGAAAATAGTTGCTGCTGTTGTTGGCCATCAGTTGGCTGATAATTCGATAATTTTCTTTCCAAATATTCAATAATATGTTCCGATTCATAGATAATTAATTCAAATCTTAATTGAAAATATTTTAAAAAATATAAATGTACAACATGTTCATTAATAATACGTTCACGTAATTGATAATAATAACGATCTAATTGATTATCAACATAATTTTGTTCAAAATTATAACGTTGATATTGATGTTTACATTCAATTAATTGACCATCACCACAACGATCAATTTGTTGTAAATGATTTTCATTACAATTCCAACAATTTTTCTGTTCATTCGAATGAATTTGTTCCAAAAAATTATCCAAATTTTTTCTTACATCTTGAAAACGTTCAATAGATTTATCCAATCGTATAATCAGATCATAATAATCATTCGAATTTGAACCAATTTTTGAATATTGAAAATAACGTTCCTGAAAATCATGTATAAATTTTTCATTCAAATCTAATAAACGATTATGATAAAAATCTAATAATTGTCTTTCATCAAATGGTTTTATAATACGAAGTTTTTCCAATTTTTGACATGATGATGACATTGTCGATGTTGCTGTCGTTGTCGATGTTTGATTTAATCCGGATAATGACATTGATGATAACATTGACGAAGTCATAATCATTGATTGTGATGGAATTTGTTGTTGTTGTTGCAAAGGTAATGTCGTTGTTGATGATGATTGTGGTGGATGAATATTCTGAAACAATAATGCCAATGATGATTGATCATTCGAATGTTGATCATTAGCCATTATTTCATCATCAACGGATGTTGAATCATTTTCCGACATGATTTTTTTTCTCGAAAATCACAAAAAAAAACTCGAATGAATTCAATATTTTGGTTGCTCTGAAGATTCACCAAAAATAAATGTTTTCGTTCGTTCGTTTCAATGCGATCGAATTGAATCGAATATCGAATCGCGATATTTTGCTCATCAATTGTCGCCAACAAAAACAACAACAACGTTTGTTGTTTAACACGATTTAAAGAAGAAGCAAGCAGAAAATGATATGTAATTTTACTTGGATAATCGCAAATCAAATCAAAAGATAACAACAACAACAAAAAATTGTTGTTGATCAAAGAAACATTTTTTTTATCACCAATATTGTGCGTATCTTTTTTCGATTTTTATTTGGTTGATTGTTTATGCAAATTTTTCATTTATTTTTTGGTTATCAATAAAATTAGTCACTATGTTTTGTTTTTTTTTTGTATGAGAATTTTCGATTAGAAAACAAAAACAAAGACGCAATTCAAAAGTGTAATGATGATTTATCAAAACAGAAAAAAAAAATCCTAAATGTATGTGTGTGGTATGTGTTTATGGATGAAAGAAAAAAATCACATTGGAAAATTTCTTCATCGAAATTGGAAAAAAAAATAAAATAAACAAAAATAGAAAATAAAATCCTCGATACGTCCTATCCGAATGGTTCGTCTTGGATCGGATTTTTTTCTTTTTAAAAAAAAAAATTTTGAATTTGGATAAGATTTTTTTTTTGTTGAAAAAAAAAATTTTTCGGAATTGATTTTTTTTACGGATTTTCAGGTATACAATTGTACCAACATATCACAAACAGCAGCTGTTGTTAATGGTCCTAATTCGGTTAACAATAATGTTATATAATCCGGTGGTGTATAATCAACACAAGCATGACATTCATGTTTAGCACGATTCATATTTGATAATGGTAATTGTCGAAAACGTATACGATCAGGTATATCCGATTGTGATAATGGATATAATCGAATGAATTTATAACTTTCAGCAAGTACATAAAATGTTTTATTTAATGCTTTAGCACAAATAGCAATCTGATATGTACCAATCTAAAATGAATGATTTGAAAAGGGTTAATGGTTAATTCTATTTTTGAAGGAAAGAAAATTCAAACCTTGTTAATAATACCACCACTTTCGGCAACACCTTCAGCACCAACCAAAACCAAATCAACACGATCCATTATTGAACCAACAGCTGAATCTAAAATCAATGTTACTTGTTCAAAACCTTCCAATTTTAACAATGCACAAAGTTCACGACCACGATTATCTGGTGCTGATTCAGTTACATAAATATCTAATGTTTTATTCTGATTACGACATTCTAATAATGTTTCATAAATAGCTCTTGAAAATGAATGAACCAAAATGGTTGAATTATTATTTAAAAATTTTTGTGCAACTTTTGCCAATTGTTGACGACTTTTTGATACTTTATCCATATAAATAGTGCTTCGTCGTGATAATTCTTCTTTGAGTTCTTTGAAATCCTATTTTTTTGCAAAAAAAAAAATTATTCAATGATAAAATTATGACCAAAAAAATTGGAAAAGAAAGAAACTTACATCAAATTTAGCTGCACTCAAAGTGATAAAACGAAAAAAAATTTCCGAAACAGCTTCAACTTCAAACAATGGATCAATACGTTTTAATTGATTAATAGCATCACGTAGATTATGTGATAATTCACTTGCTGTTGATGATTTATCATTATTTAAAAATTCCATCAATGTTTTTAATGTTGTTATGGCTGATGATTTTTCTTCATCATGAATTGATTTATAATATTTTTTCAAATTAAATTCTGCCATTTTTAATATTTTGAAACAAAAAAAATTTTGTTTTGCTTTGTTTACAATTCCAAAAAATTCAATTCTGAAACAAAACAACAAAAAAAAAATACCGAACTTATAACCCCGCTCAGACACGTTGCCATTGGTCATGTCATTTATTGATGGTTCAGGTTTTTCGAACGAACGAACAAACAAACAAAAAAAGTTTTTTTTGTTGTTCAAGGTCTTTTCGATGATAAAATTTCGCGCCAAAACAAAAGCATTTCGTTCTTTCTGTTCATTGAAAAACGAGAAACACACCAATAAAAAAAAAAGATTTTTGTCCGTTTTCTTTTTAACACATTCATTCATTCATTTTTCACTCTTTCAACGACAATTCCCTATTGGCTTTATTTGTTTACCTGAACGTTTTTAATACGATTTTCTTCTTTTTCTCGATTCTTACCATTTCTTTTTTTTCGGTTAATCGTTTACCATAAGAAATTATCAACAATGTTTGTTATTAAACGTGATGGTCGACAAGAAACAATCATGTTCGACAAAATAACATCAAGAATTCGAAAACTTTGTTATGGTTTGAATATGGATTTTATTGATCCACCTAAAATTACAATGAAAGTAATTAATGGTCTTTATTCCGGTATGACAACCGTACAATTGGATGAATTGGCTGCGGAAATTGCTGCTACAATGACAACAAAACATGTTGATTATGCTGTACTTGCTGCACGTATTTCCATATCAAATTTACAAAAAGAAACAAAGAAAAATTTTTCCGATGTTATACATGATTTGTATACAATGAAAAATGATAAAACCGGCCAATCAATGCCATTAATTGCCGATGATGTTTATAAAATTATTATGGAAAATTCTGAACGATTAAATTCAGCAATAATTTATGATCGTGATTATCGTTTTAATTATTTTGGTTTCAAAACATTGTATCGTGCATATTTATTGAAAATTAATGGTAATGTTGTTGAACGACCACAACATATGTTGATGCGTGTTGCTGTTGGTATACATAAAGATGATATTGATTCGGCAATCGAAACTTATAATCTTATGTCTGAAGGATGGTTTACACATGCATCACCAACATTATTCAATGCTGGTTAGTTTTTGTTTTAAGAATTTGATTGCCATTTTCATATTTAATCAATTTTTGTTTTGTTTTTTTTGATAAGGTACACCACATCCACAAATGTCATCCTGTTTCCTGTTAACAATGTCCGATGATAGTATTGAAGGAATATATGATACATTAAAACGTTGTGCAATTGTTTCAAAATCTGCTGGTGGTATTGGTTTAAATGTACATTGTATTCGTTCACAAGGATCATATATTGCTGGTACTAATGGTTTTTCAAATGGACTCGTTCCAATGTTACGTGTATTTAATAATACAGCACGTTATGTTGATCAAGGTGGTGGAAAACGTCCAGGTGCATTTGCTATCTATCTAGAACCATGGCATTCAGATATATTTGCATTTTTAGATTTGAAAAAGAATACTGGTTCGGAAGAATTACGTGCACGTGATCTATTCTATGCATTATGGATACCGGATTTATTTATGAAACGTGTTGAAATGGATGCAATGTGGTCATTAATGTGTCCGAATGAATGTCCTGGTCTACATGATTGTTGGGGTGAAGAATTTGAACAATTATATGAAAAATATGAACGTGAAGGTCGTTATAGGCAACAGGTAAAAGCACATCAATTATGGTTTGCAATATTAGATGCACAAATTGAAACCGGTACTCCATATATGTTATACAAAGATCATTGTAATCGTAAATCAAATCAACAAAATCTTGGTACAATTAAATGTTCAAATCTTTGTACAGAAATTGTTGAATATTCATCACCAGATGAAGTGGCCGTATGTAATTTAGCATCGATTTCATTACCACGTTTTGTTGATCAAAAACTCGGTCAATTTGATTATGAAAAACTTAAAAAAATTGTTAAAGTAATGACAAAAAATTTAAACAAAATTATTGATGGTAATTATTATCCATTACCGGAGACAAGACTTTCAAATTTACGTCATCGACCTATTGGACTTGGTGTACAAGGTTTAGCCGATGCATTCAGTCTATTACGTTATCCATATGAAAGTTTGGAAGCAAAAAAAATGAATATCCAAATATTTGAAACAATTTATTATGGTGCATTGGAAGCAAGTTGTGAATTAGCAGAACAATATGGTCCATATGAAACTTATCAAGGATCACCAGTATCAAAAGGTATTCTACAATATGATATGTGGAATCGTACACCAACCGATCTTTGGAATTGGTCTGAATTGAAAGAAAAAATTTCCAAATATGGTATTCGAAATAGTTTATTGGTTGCACCAATGCCAACAGCATCAACCGCACAAATTCTTGGTAATAATGAATCATTTGAACCATATACATCAAATATCTATACTAGACGTGTTATGTCCGGTAGTTTTGATATTGTTAATCAACATTTACTTAAAGATTTAATTAATTTGGGACTTTGGAATGATGAATTGAAAAATTCTATTATTGCTAATCGTGGTTCAATACAGGATATTGATTCAATACCGGATGATATCAAATCATTATATAAAACAGTATGGGAAATACCACAAAAATGTATTATCGATATGGCTATTGATCGTGGTGCATTTATCGATCAAAGTCAATCATTAAATGTACATATGGCTGAACCATCTAAAGCAAAAATTACATCAATGCATTTTTATGGTTGGCGTAATGGATTAAAAACAGGAATGTATTATCTTCGAACAAAACCGGCAGCACAAGCCATACAATTTACTGTTGATAAATCATTATTAAAATCTAAACAAAATGATAATCAAGATCAACAACAATCATCATTGAAAACAAAACCAACACCAGAAGAAATTTTACAATGTTCATTGGAAAATCGTGATGCTTGTCTTATGTGTTCGGGTTAGATGTTTCATTATGAAGATGTTTTTTTTTCTTGAAATTTTTCATTACAAAAATAAAATGTGAAATAAATTTTAAAAAAAATTACAAAAAAAATTTTTTATATTTTTTTTCATCCTAAATGACCATGATTTATAGTTAGGTTAGGTTAGGTTGCTGGCTATGACTATGATAGTTGAGTGAGGTTAGGTTGATGACTATGATCATGATTCATAGTTGAGTGAGGTTAGGTTAGGTTGATTAAAAAATTGAAAAAAAAAAAATTCAAAACATCCTATCATTTATGAATGGAACAAAATTTTATCAAACATAAATCTGCGAAGTCATTTTTTATTCAAACACTGTTAAAAATGTGCGTAATAACAAGAAGAGTGGGGGGAAAGAACAAAAAAAAAAGGTAGTAGCATAGTTTTTTGTTATTACAACCTGTCTGTCCATACACACACACACATGGTGATCATAAAGAAGGGAAGCTTCCCCTTTTTCCTAAAAAAAAAAAAATTCTTTTTTCCCCACCTTCTCATCCCCCTCCAAAATATACTCGCTTCATATTCGAGCAACGACGGATTTGGCTCTATCTCACTCTCTCTCTTTCTCTCCCTTCTTTGGTGTTGTTTATTGCGGTGTATGGTTGTTTTCATCATTTCTTTTCCCAATTTCCGAGTTCTTCGAAGTTTTTCTTTCTTTTTTTTTCCAAATCCAAAATATAATTGACAAGATTTTAATTCAAAAATTTCAACAAACAAATAGAAAATCTTCATTGTTTTCAATTTCATTCATTCCTCTTTTTTCTTAATTTGTTGTTTTGAAGAAAAAAATCAAACAAAACAAAACAATTTTGACATTTAACCTATTCACATTTAACACTTTGCTGTTGTTTGTTGTTATTGATTGCAACAAATTCATCCTAAAACAACAACAACAACATTCGAAAAGAATAAAGAAAATCTTTTTCTTTTTTTCATTCGTTTGACATCATTGATCATCAAAAGATCGAAAACTTAAAACTCGATCATCATCATCAAGTTCAGTAAAAGAAAAAATAGGTTTTTTTCGTTGGTTTGGTTCGTATTTCATTCGGTGTGTGCAGCAAAACAAAAAAACATTCATAAATACTCAACACAAACACAGACAACAACAAACAAACATTTCCTAAAATTCCAGAATTGAGACACACACTTATATCGTTGAAGCAACAAAGAAAACTAACAATTTACTTTTTCACATCATCATTGATGATGATGATAATCATAAAGATGATAATGGTGCTTATTGTTAATATCGAAAAATCAATTTAAAAATCTAAAAGAATATTCTTGTTTTTCTAAACAAACGAAAAAATTTGTTAAATCAAAAATCATCATCATCATGAAGATTGATCGTTCAAAATCGAAAAAAAGTTCATCAGAGGTGGTATGTATTGATTGATTGATTGATTGAAATATTCGAAATAATCATTTTTTATTATTATTAAATAAATAGCCTTTCGATTGTAAACTATTGATCGAAGAATTAAAACAATGTAACGATGATGATCAAATGTTGATCGTTTTAAAACGTATAAAAACATGGAGCTGTGGTAAATGTGAACTATATCATTGGATCGATGTACTAGATAAATTTGATACAATATTGGAAGAATGTTGTCATAAAGAAACATCTGAACAATGGGTTTTACCCGTTGATTTAGCTGAAAATGAAAAGGTAGGTTTTTTTCTTCTTCTTCTGATTGAAATCTCTAGCTTTAAAAATGAAATAAATTCTTTAGAAACGTGAACTTTTATTGGCCGTCATATCATTTACATCATTATTGATTGAACATAGTTTTTCACGACATTTATACAATTCAATCGAGGTAAGATATATGCAATGATATCAAAGATCTTATCAATTTATAATTTGATTAATTTTTAAAAAAAAATAAATAGCATTTGATCACATTATTATCGTCGACGGATATGCAAATTGTTTTGGCCATATTAAATCTATTATTTGTATTCAGTAAACGATCAAATTTCTTTTCACGTATCAGCATTGATCGACGACAATCATTAATGTCCAGACTTTATTATTTGGCCGAAAATTGGGGCGGTAAAGATCAAGGATTTGGTTTGGCACAATGTTGTCAAGATTTGCCATTGTCAAGTTATCCATCAAATGCAACAACATTTAATTTTGAATTCTATCTGAATAATAATAATCAACAGCCATCGAATATAGAATCAAAATCAAAATCGATCACATCAAAACCAATGAGTGATAGTACTCAAACAAGTCAAAAATCGAACAATATTGTACGAATTCATATTGAAAATGTACATCAAATTGATAAACCTGTATCGGTATTGATGGCCGAACTTGTTGAACAATATCAAATACCAGTCGAACAACAGATGCAGATATTCACACAGTTACGATTAACAAAAAATTTTACCAATTATCATACACGTTTACAATGTGTACAGGCAAGAATCAATGCCTTGTCCATAATGGGTATGTTATATCATTTATTATAAACTTTATATTGGTTTATTAACAATTTTTTTGTTTTGTTATCCCATTAGTCTATTGCCAAGCAATGGCCCTAAATCAAGAAGGTTATTATTCTCTATTATATAATGGTCTAATTGAAGAATTGGTTGAAGTGTTAGAACTACGTCAACCTGAATTGATTGAAATAAAATCAGCTTCATTGAAAACATTAACATCGATTATACATTTGGATCGTAATTCCAAAATGAAAGTGATTATTGATTCAACTGGAGCAAATTCTTATCATGGATTTTTGCCAATATTAGTACGAAATTGTATACAATCTCTTATATCAGGCAATATGGAAGAATATCCATTAAATTTTGTAACAGCATTATTTTCATTTCTTTATCATTTGGCATCATATGATAATGGATGTGAAGCATTGGTTCAATGTGGTATTATGGAATCATTGCTTCGTGTTGTCGATTGGAAAGGTCCAAAAGCTGATGCTGATGTTGATCATTTAATGTTTGTTACACGTGCTGTACGTGTTATCGATCTATTAACCAATCAATTTATCGATATGAATGCATTTCAATCAAATAATGGATTGAATACATTTGTACAACGTTTAGAATATGAAGTGAATATTTGTCGCACAGAACAGCCTTATGAAATCGAAGTGCCAGCTGATCGAATGAATCATGACAAACATTATGCATACGATGATGAACTTCATGGTGAAGAAAGTGGTGAACACAAAAATCCAACAACCACTCAACAAGAGACACCAATGGAAGTGGAAATATCAAATCCTGAACCAATGACAGAAGCTGCTTCGACTTCAAAATCATCGACCATTATCAATCAACCAGTGGTTAATAGTAATCTTCAATGTTATCCACAACGTGCTGCATTGTTGAAATCAATGTTAAATTTCTTGAAAAAAGCTGTACAATGTACCGGATTTTCCGAATTAGTACGACCATTAATGTATGGAAATTTTCCACGATCATTACGGCATATAATTAGTAATGCTGAATATTATGGTTCATCATTGTTTTTATTGGCCACCGATGTTGTCAGTGTTTATGTATATCAAGAACCATCATTATTATCAGTCATTCAAGATAATGGTTTAACTGATGTTGTATTACATGCTCTTTTGGTTAAAAATGTACCACCGACCAAAGAAGTATTGGCATCTTTGCCTACCGTATTTACAAGTTTATGTCTTAATCATCGTGGCTTAGAAGCATTCATTGCGTTACGGCCATTTGAACGATTTTTCAAAATATTCTTATCACCCGATTATCTACAGGCAATGCGTCGTCGCCGTAGTAATTCTGGTAATGATACAGCCACAACATTGGGCAATGCAATGGATGAATTGATGCGTCATCAACCGAGTCTTCGTTCTGATGTTATCGGTGCAATTCTCAAATTATTAGAAGAAATCTGTAGACTTGGCAGTGATCCAAAATATATTTGCACCAAAGCAAGTAGTAGTAGCAGTAGTAGTAATAATGGCAGTGGTTCTTCGAAATCATCCGGTTCCATTACTGTTGGATCGGTTGCAGATGGTTCTCGCCATCATCATCATGGCAGTACATCAACAACAATGGCATTTGATGAATCGTCATCGAATGCTGTCGATGGGGATGAAAGTAATAGAAATTCCGGTAACAATGTCAACAATGATTCTAGTTCTTCAGAAGAAGATGATTATGATGATGATGATACAACAACAACAACTACGACGACTGCTGCAGCTGCAACAACCGCTTCCGTCGCTAATCAGGATACCGTAGAATCATCATCAACCAATGTCAATTCAGCAGAAACAACTGCTATGCCGTCCACATTATCATCAACAATGTCAAATGATGATCCAATGAAATCTCAAATGCGTCCAACTATAGCACCAACAACAACAGCTGTAGCTTCAGATTCAACAAATATTATGGAAACAAACCGTCAACAAATACCATTAATTGATTATATTCTCAATGTGGTAAGTGATTATTATTTAGTATTTTTTCTTAAAAAAATCAACATTCCCATTGATTAAAACTTTACATGCAGAACATTTGATGCATTGATGAATAATTTTTTATTCATTGATGCATGACAATGTAAAGATGGTTGAAAAGATTATGAGATCTGAGGGTTTATTGCACTTATATAATTAGTTATGGTTGTTTTTTTTAGAGACTCAGCTAATTTATTTCCCATATTTTTTTTGTTAATTAGATGCGATTTCTTGAGGCAATTTTAGCCAATAATTCTACTGATGATCATTGTCAAGAATTTTTACTTCAAAATGGTCTTGATCCATTGTTTCGTTTGTTAAAATTACCGAATTTACCTTTGGATTTTCCTGTCATGCCATCTTGTTATTCGGTGGCTACTGTTTTAAAAACATTGCTGGTAAGTTTATTATTTAATTTTTTTGCGACCAGATTTTTTTAAAAAAAATATTGATTTTGTTTCAATAAAGAATTTGACCCATGAAAAAGACATATTTACCAAAGGTTTAGAAAAAATGAAAGAATTATTAGAAAAATTAAGTCCATTATCACAAATGGCTAGAACATTTAATGGTAGCATTCTGCTTGAAGATCTTATCAATCATCTAAGTACAAAAAAAGCAACAAATTTTGTTACACCTGTATTGCAGCTAATGGCCGCTGCACATGCATACATTGTAATGTTTTTGCAAATTTGTCGTACTAGTCAAGGAGAAATTCGTTTAATTTCTATCGATCAATGGGGTTCACCATTAGGTATTGAAATAATTGGCCTATTAAGCCAGCTATATATTACATTAGTATGGGAAAGTACATTATTGCTTGGCCTAAATGATTCTACATCACAAAAATATGAATTTGTTAAAATTCAAATTGAAAAACTTAATTCATTATTGAAACAAACTGTCAATAATGGTACTACTCAAGCATCATCTTCAGATATAATGATGAATGTCGATGGTACAATGTCGGCAATGTCACCGATGGAAGTTGATAATTTTGATGCTAATAGTGATCCAATTGCTGCTTCGGTTAGTCAAGATAATTCCAAAATTTCAAAAAATTCTAAATCAGTTTTGACACCTAATTCGGCTGCTGGCGCTGTTGTTAAACCATCTCATCATCATCAAAAATATATAAAACCATTATTGGCTGTTGCCTCACGTCTTGGTCGTGCGTTGGCAGAATTATTCGGTCTTTTAGTTAAGGTAAGTCCTCCTATCTTATTCTTGAAACACGAATTCGATCTTGATAATTGAATTTAAATGATAGCTATGTGTTGGACCTCCACAAAGACGTCGTAATCATCATCAACCATACTTTGCAAATTCACAGACAATGACACCATCCAAACCAGTACAAAATATTGCTAAACATTTGAATATACTTTTGTATAATGGCTTATCATGGCAACCATCTTTCGATACAAATATCCCGAAATTTCGGTAAGTTTTTTTTAAATATTTAGCCATATAGAAATAGGGAAAAAAATAGCCATCGGTATCTACCGACACGGATTTTCATTTAAAAATTTCGTGTTGGATCGTTTTATGGCTTAAATCATGAACATTATGTGCATCGTTAATTTGTTTCATTTTTTGAATGTTGATTGAAATAAATTTGGTTCTTAATTCTAATGTGATATATTTTGTTTTTTTAGGCTCACTTTTTATGTATGTTCGATTGGTTTCTCAAGTCCAATGTTGTTCGATGATCGAAAATATCCATACCATATAATGTTAAGAAATTTTGTACTTAGTTATGGACAAGATGCCTTTTTTGATTGTTTCCATACGGCTTTTGATCAACAATCACAAAATTCTTCATCACCCGATTTACCTGATGGTATTGTTGAATTTCTTGATTCATGGCTTTTGTTGTTGGAAAAAATGACAAATCCACAAACTTTGTTGGATTCTCCACATGCATATTCATCATCAAAACAAACACCATTAGATCAATCAACTGATGATATTCATTTTGATCCAATTCAATATTTAATTCGTACACATAAGGTTTGTGTTTATTGATTTTCAATTGATTCATTGATTGTAATTGTTTTTTGTTATTATTTTTTTGGATAAAATACAGAAAGCTTTTCCTTGTATAATGGAATTATGGAATTTCAAATTATATCGTATTAAATGTGATCGTGTCATTGAATCATTGATTACAATATTTTCACATTTACTTAAAGGTGAAACTATTATTGAAAAACATTTTGGTCAACAAAAAATAGGTGAAACCAATGCGATAACATCAACTTCAGCAGGAGCAGCAGCAGCATCATCATCAACAGGAGCTAGTACATCAGCAGTACCATTCAGTGAATCAACAGGTGAAATATTCACTGGTAGTGTTGATGGATCATCATCAACATCATCGTCTGTAGCAGCTACATCAGCATCATCAACAACTGCACAATCATCATCTGCCAATCGTACTGAACAAAGTTCAAATGTACAAACATTAGTTGAAATGGGATTCTCTCGTGATCTAGCAATAGATGCATTATTACATACAAGTGATGATGTAAATGCAGCTACTGAATGGATTCTACAAAATTTTTCACGATTTTTGGTAAGTTTTTTTTTAAAGCGATTCAATAAAAAATGCATCTATTCAAAGGCTGAATGGAGATTTTTGATCTTTTTGTGGTCGATAGTTGCTTCCTTTCAGTTACGAACGGTGCTAAAGTAAAGAGTTGATCAATTCAATTTCTAGAATTTGATTTATTTTTAGAAATTTGCTGTTTCACTTATAAATTTTTATTCTATTTACAGTCGGCTGATAATGAAGAAGAAGAAATGATAAGAGCTATCGCTCTATCTTTATCCGATAATTCTGATGAAAGTGGTGGCACTACTGCCGGTGAATTAATAACAACACCAAAACCAATGGAAGATAAACCTAAACAATCGGATAAAATTGAACCGAAAAATAAGGAAAGACCTTTAGTTAATGAAATTCCACTTCGAAAAGAAGAAATCAATACATTTACGGATAATATTCTTGCTAGCATATTGAAACTTATTGATCAATTACCAATCATACATAAATGTTGTGAATTAATGATTTCCATATCGAAACGAAATGGTCGTGAATGGTTTGAAGAAACAATTTCAAAATTGATTGATGATATCATACAGAATGTTGGCGATCTACAAAAACATACATCTTATATTAGACAACAGGAAAAATCGGCTAAAAGTAGTGCAATTGAATGGGCACAAAAATTGGTTACATTACCAGAATCGTTTCGTTTACAATCTCGAATACATTTACTTGTTTTATTGTTTAATGAAACAAAAAGTATTTGTGCAAAACAAATCTCTCGATCTGAACTGTTGAATCATTTAATTGATTTACTTGAAAATGCTTCATATTTGTTGAATGTTGCATATGAAAAAGAGCGATCAATATTAACACCAAAATGGGTTGCTCCAGCAATTTTATTGATTGATCTCTATGAAAAAAATGCCCTTGCCTCTCGTCGTAGAAAACGTTTACTACTTGAATCATCAAATTGTCGTCGTACATGGAAATATTTTGATGAACGTACTGTTCGTTGGAATACTTATCAAGCTGAAACAAATAAAGCTATTGATGATGCATTTCGTTCGGGTGAACTTATTTGTAAAATAAGTGTCAATCGTCGTCGTTATACAGTGAATTTTACAACAATGCTACAAATCAATGATGATACTGATAATTTTCGACCAATTATGTTGTTTGTCGATCCGGATACATCGAAATCTCGAGAAAATGAATCCACTGCCAAGAATAATGTTGTGGATAAAAATGATGATGGGAAAAAATCGATAAAGATTGATAAAGATTCAATGGATACAAAAGATGAAGAACTATTAGTTTCACATCTAGTTGATGTAGAATTTCTTGATGAAAAACAATGTCATACAATTATTGAAGCTTTGGTCAATTTTATGCAATTACCAATCGATTCTGATTCATTAAATGCCAATATACGTTTGGTATTACGTTTAACAAGAAATTATGGTAATGCATGTTTTTTCGTCGAAAAGAATGGCATTAGTCATTTGTTAAAGATACCACAATTTAGCGTTTTTCCTGGTTTTGTTTCGATGTCTACTTTAATTATTCGTCACATAATGGAAGATAGTTTATCATTAAAAACATCAATGGATAAAATTATTCGTGCTCAGGCTAATTCACCGAATTCGATACGTGAATTACATTATATGTTCCGTTATTTTAGTCCGGCTGCATGCCGTGATAGTGATACATTTAAAAAATCAGCAATGAATATTCTACGTATTAATATACCGCCCACAATGACCACACCACGTCGTTTGGCACAAGATGATGATCGTATGACACCTTTGTTACGTGCTATAGCTCCACCAACCATTGGTTCAGGATCAAAATCTGGAACGAATATTAGCGATGGTAGTCAAAATAATCAACAATCTGAATCTTCAACATCTTTGGAAATATCCAAAGTTGCCAAAGATATTATTTGTGAATTATTAAATCTATTACCTTTTCAATATTCAGCTCAACAAGAATTGGAAAAGGCGAAAAAATCTCAACAACAACAACAACAGTCTGTGGATTCTATTGTTTCAACTGAATCTGATTCTGGTATGACAAAAACGGATGATTCTGAATCTCCTGTGTTAATCAACGATAAAGATTTGTCAAAAGATCAAGATCAAAATGTATTTCGTACTCCTATTGTGCTATCAATTTTAGCCGAATTGACAAAATCTTATCATGCAGTTGCTAAAGTAATATGTGAACATAGCTATACATATTTATATAAAGAATCATTATTGGATGATTGTACTGCTTTGTCATTCATATTGGATAATCTTTTGTCATATGCTCAAAATTATGGTGATAAAGAATGTGCAACATTTTCACGTGCATTATTCACTGCCATTGCATCGGTACCATTTTCTCCGGATATACATCAAACATTGGTAATGGAAATCAAAAATGCATTGAATCGTGCCGTACTTTTACCTGAATCATTTGAAAAGCATGCTAAAATACAGGCACTATCACCGTTGATTACATCGATTGTTGAAGCTCAATGTTCATCTGCATCATTGCAAAATAATAATCCTTATTATCGACCTTATCTGGTATCGTCAAATCCATTGATCAAATTGTTGATTCGCAAAAATTTAAATACCGATTTGGCTAAAGTTATTCAATATCTTGATCTTTCATCACCTATGATGACAACGACAGTAAATTCATTGTTGAAAACATTGGATTTTCTTTCAAAAACATTGAATACACCACAGAATCTATTCACATCACGTCATCATCATCATCATCATCATAATCAACATCAGCAAAGTTCACAAAGTCGTCATCAACGAAATTTACTTTCGCATAGTTCATTTACGATACCGATGATTGATTTGGATCCATCTATCGAACCACGTAATAATGATAATGATCAAATGCTTATGGAACAAGATCATTCGGAAAATCTAACAACAAATTCAACTACAACAACAACCAATAATAATCAGGATAGTAGTTCAGCATTAGCCTTAACTTCCAATCAGTTAATGAATGCTGATGGTTCAATGATAGAAACTGAAACAACAACAACAACACAATCACCGAATACTAATGCTATTCATACTGAAGATATGGCACAAGCATCGACAATGTCAACAAATTCACAAAATTTGGATGAAAATACTGAAAATGAATTATTTTTGGATAGTGTTGCCTATGATAATTATAATAATTCACATCCACGTAGTGGTACTTTTACATCAGATGACCTACGCACCGATGATGATGATTATGAAAATGATGGTCTTATTATTAATGATCGAGATGGTATGAATGATGGTGATCATGAAATGCATCATGATACTCATATTGTCGTTGGTAATAGTAATCATGTTGGTGTTGAATCAACTACTGCAAGTAGTGATGGTACAGAATCGGATGATGCCGATTCCGAAGAACATGATGATGACGACGACGATGAAGATGATGTTGATATTGAAGACGAAGAAGAAGAGGAACAAGAAGATGATCAAGCTGGTAGTGCACAAGAAGATGGTGATGAAGATGATGATGATGAACATATGGATGATGATGAAGACGACGATGATGATGATGACGGTGATGATGATGAAGATGAAATGGATCGATTACGGCCCGATGATTTATCTCTACAACAAATGCTTGATGATCAATTTGCTCTTAGTTCAATGAATAATGATGTTATCTATAGTTTGGAAGAAGTGTTGCCTCAATTTTTAAGTTATTCTCACCGTGTACCATCATCGTCTGATTATCTATCACCTTTCTCTTCGCATCATCATCATCACCATCATCATATTGTTGGCGATGGTGATAATGTTATCATGAATGGTCATAGTAATGGTGGTCATTTTGTTCCAACATCTTCTATTGGTCGTCATCTGAATAGTGCCGGATCTAGCATGCAGTTACATCATCCTTTATTGAATTATAGTTCTGATACAATTAATAATAGCAGTACTACAACACCATCAGTAGCAGTTATCAGTAATGCTGGATCAACATCGTTGATGAATAATCTTGGTTCATTAGTAGGTTTAACCTCTCATTCGGTTAACCCAATATCGGCATCATTTTTGTCAACAGCTTCCAACACTTCTAATATTGGTATAGGAGGTGGAAATGTTAGTAACGGTAGTGGTCGATCAACGATCGCACGTAATCCTTTACCACGTGCACGTGCCATACGATCTTATTTCCATACTGGTCATAATTGGCATGTAGCTCATTTTAATACCCGAACAAGTCCAACACATATATTACAACGATTACTTGGCTCGGCTGCTTCACAAAACGAATTCTCTATTCCAAGTGTCCTTCGTAATCCTTTTTCACGACATGAATTGGATGAAACGTTTGAATTTCATCCCTTGTCATCAACAGCATATGCATCCACTGTATCGAATTCATTGCAGAATAATCCATTGAACGCAATCCCATCAACAATACAACGTTGGCTTGAAGAGGCACGTTTATTAGATGGTGAATATATGTATGATGCATTATTATTAATTAAACCGGAAATTATTCGTCATCTTGAGAAATTGAAAGAAGTAGAATTACAGGAAAAGAAACTTAAAGAAAAAGAAGATTTGGATGCTACAGCTGGTGATGCTAAAAATAAATCTGCTGCCGTTACGGCCGAAAATAATTTGGATCGTGAAATAAGACAGGCTATGCAACATCAACAGTCACAACAACAACAACAACGTGGATCTGACCAGTCATCACAATTTGAAGAATTACATGCTCACATTGAACAATTAACTAATTCGGTCATCAATCAAGTGTTGGAATCAAATCCACATGAGCAACAACAACAACAACAATCAAATAATACAGAAGAATCGACAAACAATTCAGTGAATAATGATCAAATTTCTTGTATGGAAGTGGTCATATCAAACGATGATAATGAAACTAATGAAGAACAGCCACAACAAATACAAGTGGATGAGGTGATTCCAATGTCCGTGGTTGTCAATGAAAATATTCCAGCAAGATCTAGACAAGATTCAATTTTGATTAGTAATGAAGATTTAGTTGTTGAAAGTGAATCTGCTCCTCTCGCTCCTGAAACACAAAATACCGATGTCGAATCAATGGATCATCAATCATCTAACGTCATGTCCGCTCAACAATCTGACTCTCATTCGGCAAATGAACAGAATCAAGAGCAGCAATCTGGAACTGTTGAAACATCTTCAGCTACTTCTCAACCACCTGCACCTCCACCCGCCTATCAATTAACACCAGAAGAACGAGCTATTCTTGGTGATCAAGAATTACCTGAAGGTGTTGATCCATCATTTTTGGCTGCTTTACCTGAAAATATTCGTCAAGAAGTGATCGCCGAACAATTTCGCATACAACGATTAAATCAATTGCGTAACAATACATCACAACCACCCGTGACGACTGCTAATACAAGTAACCAAACTGCAACTACCGTCAATCAAGGGCCTAGTTCAGTTGCGACGAATGCTTCTAATTCTGTAGCTGTTCCAGAAATTAGTGAAGATTTTCTTGCAGCTTTACCGCCAAACATTCAAGAGGAAGTTCTCGCCCAACAACGTGCCGAGCAACAACGTTTGAATGCACAAAATACAAATCCCGATACACCGGTCGATCCGGTCAGTTTTTTCCGATCATTGCCACCGTCACTACGGCGACAAATTTTGTCCGATCTAGATGATAGTCAAGTTCAACTATTGCCACCGGAATTCGCTAATGAAGCACGAACATTGCGACGTGAATTTGAACAACGAAATCGCCAGATTCATGAACGTCTTTTCGATTCTAATTCAACCATTTTACGAATCATACGATCAGCCAGTAAGTAAACTTTGACTCATTCAATTGTTGAAAATTTTATATAACTATAATTTCTTATTTTAGATTCACGTGCCGCTATACGATACGATGGATTGAACATTCCAAATTGGACACATGCAAGATTTTCTTTTCGTAACGGTGCTGGTTCCGGTTCTCATGATAATCGCGATGTTTATGGCGCTAGCGGCAGCAGTAGTTTCAGCCGTCATATTCCACGTGCATTCACTAGTCGTTCCTTGAAGGGAAAATATCTACTTGATTACGATGCCCTTTCATCAATTTTGATCCTTTTATTCATCCATGATAATCTTATCAGTTCGATTCGATTACATCGTGTGATCAGAAATCTTTGTTTACATGGTCCAACACGACAATGGGTCATTCAATCTTTGTTGGAAATTATGGAAAAGACAAAAGAATCAGTGGATTCATCATCATCATCAAACAATTCAACAACATTGAATGCTGATGATCAAACTTTAAAGTAAATATCCTCTCTTGTTTTTATTTTTAATTTGAAAAATTTTCAAATTTTTTCCATTAGGGCATTGACACAAAATCATTTTGTCTCTTGGCTTTCGATTACATTGGATTCATCATTCGGTTCAAAAACGAATGTTTTCTATTTGAGTAAAACAAATAATAACGTCATTGGATCATCATCATCATCATCATCAACACCTAGTTCAGGCAAAAAAACCGATAAAGTCAGTCAAATTTATACGATTTCAATCAATCCACAAGCTTCGTTATTTGTATGTCGTAATGTATTGGACATACTTATTTCTTTGGCCAAAACATTTCCCGAACAATTTATCTGCTATTCACCACTTTCATCCAATTCATTGAATACTACACAAGGATTACAGAAAAATCTTTCAACAACTTCATTGAATACATCAAGTTCAAGTATCAAAGATCAACAACATGAAAATACTGGAACACCATCATCATCGAATGGTAATCAAAAACCGCCACCAAGTTTTTTCGATGTTCTTATGCGACACGATTTTATTCATGCAACGAAAAAAACAAAATCCAAACAAGGTAACATTGATTTTATTGTTCTGTTATATTGTTATATTTGACTATAATGTTTTTTGTTTTTTTAGCTTTATCAACAAATATTCAGAGTACATCTACCATGGAAATTGATTCTGTTTCATCTACTAAAAATCTATCACAATTACCTCTTGATTATTCACCATTTTCACAATTACTCAATCTATTGTCACATCATTTTATTAAGAAAAGTCCTGTCTTAACTGATCGTTTAATTCGATTAATGACACACATTACAACAGCATTAACACCGGATACAGATAATCGTAATCAAACAACACCGATAAATTTATCTAATGAAATCAAAGAAAAATTGAATGAAATTGAAAAAACTATTGCCAATGAACGACTATTGAAATTGGTTGTGGATGTACTTGTTTCAAAAACATGTTCCGAAGATGGTCTTGTAGATGCTACATCATTATTGATCAAACTTTCAAATCTATTTCCAAATTGTCGTAGTATATTCTATAAACTATTACTGGATGGTGTTCGCCATTTAGGTCAAACTGTTTATGACGATATCAATGCATTGTCCATTGAAATGAATGATTTGCTAAAGAAATTGAAAAGTCAACCTTCTAGTAGTAATACTAGTAATACATCTGCTACTGATATTGAATCACATGAAAAGAGTATCAAAGGTCATAGTAATGTACAGGATCGTTATTCGAACACGACCATTGTTATAAATGCTCAATCAAATGTTAAACATAATATTATTTCGGGCAAGGAAGTTCAATTGCCATCAATGTCTAATCTAATATCAAAATCATCGAGTCAATTTTTATTTTTACGAATACTGAAAATAATCATGCATATTAGAGAAATTAATGCTAAAAATCAAAATTCTAAATCACAACAAAATGTTGCACCATCGTCGGCCGATCCGTCTATTGATAATCCATCAACTTCGTCTACTAATGAGCAGACATCAACATCGACAGCTGAAACCAAAATGGAAATCGATCTTGAACAGGATAAACTTAGCACCGAATTACAATTGGATCATTTATGGGAAAAACTGAGCGATTGTCTTAGCCTTTTGTCGGAAGCTCCTGATGATCATGTTGTACTTGTTTTACAACCGGCTGTTGAATCATTTTTCTTGGTGCATGCACCGGAAAAATCTCGTACAACTGCTGCTCCCAGTTCCGGTACTGATAATCAACGATCTGCGGAACCGGCTTCACATCAATTACCGCATCTCCATCAAGCCTCTGATTTGTTCAATGCCGAATCTCAAAATGATGAAAATCGGCATTACAGTTCGCTACCGGAAGATACTCAAAAATTTTTAATATTTGCCGAAAAACATCGTGTTGTTTTGAATCAAATTCTTCGACAATCAAATATCCATCTGGCTAATGGTCCATTTGCCGTTCTTGTTGATCATACTCGAATATTGGACTTTGATGTCAAACGAAGATATTTCCGTCAGGAATTAGATCGTTTGGATCAAGGCACACGTCGTGATGATCTACCGGTTCATATTCGTCGTGAACATGTGTTTGAAGATTCTTATCGTGAATTGAATCGCCGTACAGCTTCTGATTGGAAGAATCGTTTCTATATCGTATTCGAAGGTGAAGAAGGACAAGATGCTGGTGGTTTGCTTAGAGAATGGTATACAATCATTTCACGAGAAATTTTCAATCCAAATTATGCTCTTTTCACAACATCACCTGGTGATCGTGTTACCTATATGATCAATTCAGCTTCACATTGTAATTCAAATCATTTGAGCTATTTCAAATTTGTTGGTCGTGTTATTTCGAAAGCAATCCATGATAACAAACTATTGGATTGTTATTTCACTCGTTCATTCTATAAACACATCTTGGGAAAACTTGTCAAATATACCGATATGGAGAGTGAAGATTATTCTTTCTATCAAGGCCTTGTGTTTCTGCTCGAACATAACGTCAATGAGCTTGGCACAGAATTGACATTTTCATTGGAAATTCAGGAATTTGGTGTGACTGAAGTCCGTGACCTAGTACAAAATGGCCGAAATATAATTGTCACCGAAGAGAATAAAAATGAATATGTTAAATTAGTCTGTCAGGAAAAGATGACAGGTTCGATAAAAAAACAATTGAACTCTTTCCTCGAAGGCTTCTATGAAATCATACCAAAACGATTGATATCCATATTCAATGAACATGAACTTGAATTATTGATTTCCGGTTTGCCAAACATTGACATTGATGATCTCAAAGCAAACACTGATTATCATAAATATCAAGCAACATCATTGCAAATCCAATGGTTTTGGCGTGCACTACGTACATTCGATCAGGCCGATCGTGCTAAATTTTTACAATTTGTTACCGGTACATCAAAGGTTCCATTGCAAGGATTCACTGCACTCGAAGGTATGAATGGACCGCAAAAATTTCAGATTCATTTGGATGATCGATCTACCGACCGTTTACCATCAGCACATACATGGTAAGTGTTTTTTATTATAGATTTTTTCGAATTTAATTAATTGAATTTTCTTTTCTTTGAATTTTTTTTTTAGTTTCAATCAATTGGATCTACCTGCTTATGAAACTTATGATAAATTACGTATGATGCTGTTAAAAGCAATCCATGAATGTTCGGAAGGTTTTGGATTCGCCTAATTGTGAAATTTAAAAAACAACAACATTGATTTGATCTTTTGATTCATCTTGTCTGTGATTATTTAATAATATTTACAAAACTAGAGTTTAAAAAAAATTCGTTTTGTTGGTTATCGCAAAATCATTTGAAACAAAATATATAAAACACACGAAACGAAACAAAAAAAAATATATATACCTTTATCCTTGTGTCTCTCACTTTGCGTCTGTGTCTCCCCCTTTATTATCATTATCATTTTTTTGTGTCAATGTCTGTAATAATCTTTTTTTTTCTCATACAAACATTTCAAATCATTTATACACGGAATAAATTCTAAACGAATCTTTTTTGATTCATTTTTTCCATTCATTTATTCATACAAAAACCACAATTACAAAACCAACGCAATTCATTCATATGTTTAACATTATAATTTCAAAATTAACAGATTTATAATAAAATTGCTATTTTTCAAATAAATTATTTTGTCTTTTTTTTTGTTTTGTTTTGATTTAAAGTTGGCGATTTTATTTTTTTCATATATAGCAAATTATTCAGCCAATTGAATGATTGGATTTATGAATCAATTTTCATTTAGATTTGGAAATCAAAATGGTAAGGAAGAAGGGGGAAGTAAAAATAAAATTTTTGTTTTCATGATTATAATCAATAAGTCATACAAATTCAAATTTTTTTTGTTTTGGGAAAATATTCATTGATTTTGTTTTTGTTTCAATTGAAATTTGTTTTGTTAATTGCTCCTACGTGAAATGAAATCGACTGATTTTGATGTTTGAATGAGTATGTTTAAAAAAGCAACGATTGTATTTTGTTTTGTTTTTTTTTTGACAATAAAATTGATAGGTTCGAGATCATCATCAAGCATCATTAAGAATAACATTCATTGTTTTTTTTGTGAGTGAGTGTGTTTGTGTGTTGTATTTGTGAAAAAATAAAATAATTTTTTTTATATCAAATAAAATTCATTACATTAAAAATTAAAATAAATAAATAAAAAATAATTAGAAAAAAAATTACATAATAATACTGATCAAATTGAATGCAGAAATGATCGAAAAATAAAAATGATAATAATAAACTAAAAATAAATAAGATAAAATTAGCAGCAGCCAACAAAAATTTCTAATTATAAAAAAAAATTTGATGATCAATATGATGATGCAAAAAAAAACGAAACAAATGAGGTATATCAATAGGAAAATAAAATTTGAAAAAAATCTATAAATGCATCTATTATCTTTGGATTATCGAGTGGTGACGTGTGAAAATGATCATTATTCATTGCATGGTCCATTGTTCTATGTCTTGTTTGTTTTGTTGTTGATCTATAGTGCATTATACGTATTATCGTAAGAATAATAATTTTGAAATTGATTTTTTTTGTCAATCCTTTCATTATTGATAATAATTATTCTTTCTGTTTGAATGATAGAAAAAAATTCGATTAATTTAGAACGTAAATTGAATTTTGTGGAAATCAACGACAAATATACATACCATTGTTGGATAGAAAAAAATCTCATCAATTGAATCGGTACCAAATTCATTGGATGCCGTACATTGATAAACACCCATATCATCAAATGTAGTATTATGAATGATTAGATCACCATTAGGTAATACTTGATATTTGCCATTCATTGATGATTCGTCGATTGGTGTTAATTGTCCATTGACAAACCAATTGATTCGTGGTTTTGGAAAACCCATTGCCCGACAATGTATAATGACATTATTGCCCATGTTTTCCATCAGTGTTTGTGTCCAGAAATATATTTTTGCTGGTGAATCTATATATGTAGTGAAGATTGTAAGATTATATTGAAATAGTTAATCAATCAATCAATTGACTTACTTAGTGATTTTTTCTCCAAACATGAAACGGTAGACGAAAGATCATTACCACTGTTTGGAGATTGATTATTAATAATTTTATGATAATTTCCTGTTGATGTTGATGATGATAATGATGCACCGGGAATCAATGAATTTTCAATCAACGAATTGTCAAATAATTCCATTTCTTTGTCATTATCATTTCTTGAATTTGATGATGATGATGATGATCGTCGTGGAACAATAATCAATTTTGTATTAGTTCGTTTCTGTTCAAATGATGTGACAGCAACACATGTATAGATGGCGCCCGAATCTTTTACAGGATTCAAACAATCAAGATATAATCGTGATTTAACACGCGATAATCCAAGTTGACCTGTTGATGATGGCCGTATACTACTTTTTAATAAAAGCATTGATAATGTTGATGATGATGAAACATCATTATCATTATTTTCATTAAAATCCATTATATTTTTTTGTTGATTAATTAATTTTCCATTACGAAGCCAATAAATTTTTGGATTTGGTGTTCCAAGTACATCACATTCAAGCATATAATGTTGTTGTTCATCTTGTTCAATGACAATTTGTTCGGGTAACATATTTTCAAAATGTAAATATGGTCGTACATTATCGGCAACATCATTATCATTATTTTCATTAATAATGACTTGATTTTCATCTCGTTTTATGGTTGTTTGCTAAATAAAATTCAATAACAGGAAAAAAACATTGAGAAAAAATTAATTTTCCAAAAAAAAAGTTTTCGAAAAAAAACTTACCCGTACAGAACGATGTAATGGAATTGATGATTCGGTAATAGTTTCAATAGTATGGCTACTACCATTATTATCATCATTATGAATTGATTTTGTTGTTGATGAATCAACAGCATTAATTGGCAATGAATGAACAATCGATATCGGTGTTAATGTCATTATCATTAACAACATGATTGTTGACAACATCATTGTTAATGTTGATTTTTTTGTTGTTGGCATTATGGATAACAATTTCGATGATGACAATGATGATGGTGACAATTTGTATTGTAATAATCGATTTGATGATAATAATGATTGTTGTTGTTGTTGTTGTTGATTATTGTTATGATTTTGATTCGTATGATGATTATTATTTGATGATGATGATGATAATAACATCGATGATGATGATGATGATTGTTTAGATTTTTTATTGAATGGTATTCTCATTTTTGTTTCCAATATTCAACTATGATATTCCACCAACAACAACGAGAAAAAAAAATTGATATAACAATTTTGGATGATGATCAAATGGCGATGGCGATGATGATAAACCAATCTATAGAAAAATAAAAAAACGAAATTCAAAATGAATATTTAATTAGTCATCTCATTTTTTTGTTCATTCAAAAAAAAAAAAAATTCAAACAAAGAAATCTTGTGATGATCCCTCTTTTGCCAAACAAAAATTTGAAATTAAAAATCATGAAATCAATCAATAAAAAAAAAGATTATTTCATGTGATCGAATCTATCCGTTCATTGATCGATTGATGATGTGTGTGGGATGATTGAGGGGATAAAAATGAAATGAAATGAATGAAATTGGATTGCAATAAGATAGTGTAATGTGTGTGATATTTTTTTTATTATCACCAAGAATCATCAAACAAACGAAATGAAAGGAAAAAAATCACACAATCAAAAATCTGTATATACAAACAATAAATTTCTAAATTTTGAAAAATCATCATCATCATTTTCAAATGATAATGATAAAATAATAGAATGAATGAATGAATGAATGAGGGAAATAATAGTTCTATCTAATCTAATCTAATGATTTTTTTGTTTAGTTCAACATTCAGTTTTAAAGTCCAAAACAAAATCAAATTTGAATTGAATTGAAAAAATTTTTTGTTGGATGGATTTAAAATCAAAAATTGAAATTTTTTGTTTATTGTTTTGGAATCGGAACATTAAAGATTCGAACATATTTTCAGACTATCGATTGGTGATGAACGATTAGATAAATCGATCTATCGATTTTGGTGTTCATTAAAAAAAACTTACCGTTCGAATTCGAATGAAATTATCGGATCGGTAAACACAAAACGAAAAATAAAAATAACAACAACAAAAAAGGAAGGAAACGATAATTCCTTTTCGATATAAAATTCGACAAAGTTTTGTTTTGTTTCACAAAGAATTTTTTTTTGTATTTGAAATGATGTTTGATGTGAATTTTGATTGAATGTGTTACAGAAGCACAGAAGCAACAACAACAACAAAAAAGTTTTTGTTTTTATGTAATAGTTTTTATGTTTTTGGTTTTATTCGCTGATGATTCGAAATGAACTGTCTGCAACGGCTTTTTATATTGGCAGAAAAAAAAATGTCAAACAAGAAAGAAAAGAAAAAAACAAAAATCAACAAAGCCGCAAATGTATTTGACAAAATTCAAATGGAAAACCCGACACACACAGGCCACAACTATAAAATTATAACGTGTATGTATGTATTGCGGCTGCCGAGAAATCATCAACCATTCGAAATAGAAGGAAGAACATCATCATCATCATTAATAACCAGTAAAAGAAGACGATAACGACAACGACGATCAAAAAAACGTATAAATCCAAGTGTAAATATTAAGTGAACAAATAAAAAAGCAGCCATCAATATTATCATCATCATCATCATTATCATCAACATTATCATCGATAAGTTAACAAAAAAAATTAAACAAACAATTTAGAAAAAAAAACATCACTACGCAATTGTACTAATCTTTTCTTTTTTTTTATTTGCCTTCTTTTTTTTTGAAATCGGCATGGCTTCATTCATTCATTCATAATGTCGTTTTTTCCATGTTTTTTCTTCTATTTAATTAAATGGTTGTCACTGGTATCACCCTGTATTTGATTCGATATATTGATATTAATATTGTAATAGATTGTTTGGATCTCATCATTATTTATACACGTATGCCACTTGTTGTTTGTATTGATACCACCTTCATCTTTTTTTTTACATGGCTTCTTCTTTACGGTGATTCTTTATGTTACAGAATCAGAATTATTCTCTTCTCTCTCTTTGATTCTTTCTGCCGGATGTGTGTAAGTAAGAGGAAGAATTTCTGGCTAAAAATAGTTACAATGTCCATCTCTCTCCGTGTTTGTTTGGACATGTGGGAGTGGTGGTTTTTTTCTGGGATTTCTCGCTTGGATAAATTTAATTAGATTTTTTTTTTGATTGTTACTAAAATTAAATGAAAATGATGAAATATAGAGATGGGTTTAAAAATAAACCAAAAAGAAAGAAAAAATGACCATCAGATAATGATCGATGATGATAGAATTTATGAAATTTTCAACCTTTTTTTGAATTTAAAGAAAGGAGGGTTAAATAAATGGAGGGTTGATGAAAAGATTAAGAAGGGCGGAGATCGAATCACCCCTCCCTTTATCCCACCCGCCAATCACCACCACCACCACCACCATCAAATTATATCACGAAAAAAGGGAAAATCTCGTACTTGATTTGTACTTGAAACATGAAAAAATATTTCAACAGAATGTCATCATTCAATCATGATGAATGATTGATGATGATGATTATCGAAAATGACAAAATGAAGAAGAATTAACCAAATGAAAATTAATTTTCAACTAGGTCGTCATTTACAGCAGACATCCATTTCATCATCATCATCGTTATGAGATTAATGAATTAATCAAAGAACAAAAAAGTTACTTTGTTTATGATTAATTGATTTGATTTGATTTGAAATGGACATTCGAATGACGACAATTGTGACATGTGCAATATATTTTTTTATGAATGAATCTTCTTTCGTTATCTCTTTCTCCTCTCAATGTCGTCGATCTTTCTTTATTGATTTCCTTGAGAAAAAAAAAGAAATATACTTACTTTTTCTGTATATATGCAATATATGTTTGCTAAACAAACAAAAAATTTCAAAAAAAATTTTTTCTTTTTCAGAATTTCATCAACGTGACTAATTGAGCGTCACATCTTTTCCTTTTTTTCTGGTCGTGGTTTTAGGTTTGTTCAAATATTGATTACAAGAAGAAGAAGAAGAAAAGAAAAGTGGATCATCCTTACAGCATTATTTTTTTTTTTAATTTTCCATTTTTTTCCGTCTAATTCAAAGAAACTTAATACATATCAGGCCATCTAATATTCGATCGATCGATCGATTGATTATCGATATTCAATATTTGGAAAACTGGATTTATCCAAATCACCAGCAAAGAAAAAAAAATACATTGAAAAATGCAATAATATAACCTAGATGGCCAGGATCTTTGATATCAAACTTGATTTTTTTTTCTTGATTTTTCGTCAGAAAAAAAACCCAAAAAGAATTTTTTGGTTTTTCTGCTGCTGCTGTTTTTGAGATTTGAAGGGATTTTCGACTCATTTTTCATCAGAACTGTTGAAACCAGTAGAATAATTGATGTTTTGATTGTTGAATATCGATGAATTCCTTGAAAACAAATGAATAAACAATGTCAAGGTTTTTTTTTTTTTGGTTTTCGTTTGTTTAATCTCATTCGAATATCGGCCAAGAATGTACCAAACAAAACAAAAATCAAGAATCAAGAATCGAGAATTCAAAACAACAACAACGAAAAATGGAATTTAATAAGAATCTTTTCAATTATCACGATACAATCGATTATTTCATCCATTACCGATTCGAATGTTCGAATAATCGAATGTTTTCAAATGTTGTCGTTCCAGTACAACATATCCAGAAATTGATGTTTTCTGTACATTCTTTTTCTTTTCCTAGTTTTTTTTCCCTTTTGGATTATTTCATTGTTAATAATTCATTTAAATTGGAAAAAAAACTCCACTTGACAACCGACCAACCAACCACAATACCAGATTTAACCAGTGAAAAAATTTCCTTCTTTTATTTATCATTTCCATTTTCATTTTCTCTTATATCCTTAATTTTTATTGACGAAATTCTTCAGTTTTTTTTCTCTCACTTTCTCTCTTCTGGCCAATCAATCATTAATAAAAGAAGATAAAAGTGATTGATTGAAAAGTGAAAAAATTTCCAAAATAAAACAAACAAAAAAAAGCCAATCATCATCACCTCGATCACGATGAACCAAACCAACCAACCAACCAATTACCCATCCATCAAAGTACAATCGTTTTTTTATCGTTGTTAAGAAAGTGTTCTTTTGTGTGTTTTTTTTCTGAGAAAATAAGGATTGCAATCTTTCACACATGCAGAAGAAGAAGAAGAAAAAAATCATAGACTTTGTCTTGATTTGTCTATGCTATTTCATTTTTTTTATATTGTATTTATCATTTAGGATTGCCATTCCATTTCCATTCTTTGAATGACACATAATGATGATGATGATGAAATAATGAAAACAAAAAAAATCGCAGTCTACCATTATTAATAGCAGCAATAAAATTCGAATGGACAACAACAACAACAAAGAAAGAAAACCAGAATAATCCGGTGTTTGAAAACATTCAGATTGTATTGTCTGTGTGTGTGTGAAAAAGAGATTTCATTGAATTCGTCACCATCCGTTCATTATCATTTCATTTTTTTTCTGGTTATTTAACAAATGGGTGGGTATTTATTATCCATTTCATAACATCCACTTTAATTCAATTCAATTCTAATCCATTTAGGTCAGTTATTTGGTCAGCCAGTCAGTCAATCTAAATCACTTTTAAGTCTTTTTTTTTCTCTCCAAGTGTAGGTAGATTTGGATTGCTGGTTGATATTGAAATTTTTTGGAAACCTGTTTCCATTTTCATTGTCTTCTTTTACCTTTCTATTCCTTTTCGTTCTCTTTCCCTCTCTCTTTCGCCTACACCGGTGTAATATATAATAATCAGTTCGTGCAAATATTATACACGAGTTACATAATAACATGTCATTTTTTAAAATGTCATCATCATCATCATCATCATACATATTATGATGTCTGGTTAAATAATGAAAGAGAGAGAGAAAAAAAAATGAGAAAATTTTCATTTTCTTTGCTTAATTAACAAACAAAAAAAATGTTTTTGGTCACCATGGAAACCAAAAAAAAAAAACGGTGTTTTTTTCCTTTTTTTCCAATGATGACATTTCGTTTGTTTTTTTTAAATAAATAATTTCTGGTTCTACAGTTTTACAGTTTTTCAACAAACCAAGTGACGAAAAAAAAACAGTAAAACTATTAAAACAACAATCGACAACCGGTGAATGCCAGTTTTTTTTCATTTCATTTCATCCACACAATATTTATTATCATCTTTCAATTACCTAACGACGATGTAAAATGATGATGATCATCATCATTAATCAAATTTTATCAATCAAACAAAGAGGAAAAAAAATGAAATTCAATGGAATATAAACATGTTATGACCGATATATAAACAATGATAAAACAATGATTGCTGGTTGATATTAATGAACTTTACCTGAGGGGAAAAAAACCGGAATTATTTTTTCTTCGTATTCCGTAGTTTTTATCGTTTGATAAAAACATCAGAATCATCAGTTTGTAAATGTTTGCCAAAAACCAGATATTAAAAAAAACAAATAGCCAGCAACAAACAACAACAACAGAACAATATTGACCTAAAAATTAAAAAAACAACAAAATAAAATCAGAGCATCGAACCTTTTTTTTAAAAAAAAATAAACAGTGGTCAAAAATAATGATTATTTGTTTTTAATTAAAACAATCAATAATAAATAATAACCAGATGATTGATAATAATAGTAATTAACCGATAATATATTTTTAGCACAAGTGCCTTTTTGTTCGGTAGAGTGTACTTGAGTGTTAATTAAATTCATTAATTAACCGATAAATGACATTATCATTTGGTTGTTTTGTTTTTTCTTCATTTACTTTCAAAGATTAAGGTTCATTTGGATAAAATGATTCTTTCTTTCATTTTGAAAAAAAATTTCCAATTGAAAATGGAATTTTTGTTTCGTTTTTCGTTTATACAAAAAATGATCGGCATGTTTTCTTTTTTCTTCGAGCTCTGGTTTGTTTATGTTTTGTTATGACGAAATAATCATGATGATAATCAATCAATAAATCGATCAAAAATTAAGGTTAAACATTTGAAAAAATTGGATTGAACGATTCAAGAAAAAAAAGGTCACACAACCTTCCAAGAAATTAACCAAAAAAACAAAAACAAAACGTGATATAAATAACGTACTGAACGTACAACAACAAACGAAAAAATGTGTGAATGGAAAAAATTCATTCAACAAAAAGATCATTTTTCCCATTTTGTATACAATTTGATTGAATGTTAATGTAATGATGATGATGATGATGGCCATGGACATTCATTTTTGTTATTCATTTCATTATCGTCATCATAATCATAATAATCTTATTTTTTGTTTTTTTTTTTGGTTTGATATTAATGTGTCGTCGACATCGATTTTCTTTTTCTGTTAATCATGATGATCCTCATGATACTCATGACGATGATGATGATGATTTTTGAAAATTTCCATAAAAATGTCATTTAAAAATTTCATTTGATATCTTTTGATGATAAAGATTGTTTGGTGGTGGTGGGGGGAAGAAAGAACAAGAAAAAAAATTAAGTAAATAAACATTTTAGAAAATAAAAATATATACATTATAATCCAATGATGATGATCATCATCCAAACAAACTAATAAGTAGATATTGATCAAACATTTCATCATTAACATCATCATCATATTTTACACCCACTTATCAAACAATCAATACAACATTACAATTTTATCGAAAAGATCAAAAGTTTTTTTATTACTGGGGGGAACAGAAACAAAACAAAAAAAATTCCGAAGATAATTTATTTTTAGTTGTTTTTTAAAAGAATTATTCTGGATTTTACCAGAATTTGTACCGGATTTCGAATGTTTTTTTGTTTTGGTTGTTGCTAAAAACATTCGAAAAAAATGACCATTTCCACAAACATCTATCACCTATAGTTAAAATATCCCTTGACGTAAACATTATCAATTTTCTTTATTCATCTTTTTCCAAATATTCCATCCATTTTATCATTTTTTTTTATCGATGTTCATTTTAGTTTTGACATTTAAATATTTTTTTTCTCCATCAAAAATATCATCATCATCATCATTTTCAAGGTTAAATTGGTTGGAAACTTTTTTCTTCTTTCCGGTTCTCTTGTTTATTGAATTTTGATTAATTTTATTTTTCCTGTAATTTTGCTCATTGGCAACAAAGATGTACATTTTTTCCAAGAAAATTACAAAAATAATAAAAATAATTTGTTAATCCTTTTTGTTTTACTTATAAAAACTTTTATAATGTAAATTCTTTTTATCTTCTTATAGGAGAAACAAAATTTGATGAATTTCGAAACAAATTACATTTGTAATTGTAAAATGTATCCATAGCAACAACCGAAAAAAAATCAGAAGAAGAAGAAGAAAAAAAAGTTTCTCAAACCTTCTTAAAACTGATTCTCATTCAAAGATAGAATATTCTTCTTTCTTTGGAAATTTGACTGATGAAATATTGAATATCGAATATCCAAATAAATGATTCAAGAAAAACTAATGATGATGATATTGTCGTCTGTGAAATGAAAGAATCCTTTTTTTTTCTTTGTCTTTGTTTTTTGCTGTTGTCAAGAAGAAAACCAAACCAAATCAAACAAACCAAATCAAACAAACAAAGCGTATTTGATTCTATTAATAATCAAAAAAAAAAAAAAAAAAATCATCAAAAAAAAAAATCAGCAAAGTTGCAACATTTTTTTTTCTGAAATGAAAATGAAAATTCAAAACAA